TGTGTACCTCAATAATTTCCAACTTTCCTAGGTATCCCCCAAGTATGGCACATACATACTTACATTGATCCAAACTAGACCAGTGTAACTGTGTAAAAATTGTCATACCTGAACTTCTGCTTTAAAATCCACCTGGCCCTTGAAATCCTGTTGTCAAATTTATAACTTGTTTTGGTTTTTACAAGCAAGCAAAGAGATCTGGTTCTTTGGATGAGACATAAAATGTATACTGGAGTCCCTTGTAGCCTTTTTATCTTGGATATAATTGCACAAGTCTTTTCCCCCAGGATTAGCACTTTCTTGTTACTTTATATTCATTTCTTGGTACTGTGGACCTGCAGATTGTGTACGTCCTCGAATAATTGTTTACCTGTGCCAGGAATAACCTATATGGCTAAATGTACTGTATGTGTGATATATGCATTCAGTCGTATCTGACTCTATGGGCCAGTTCTTTGGGTATCATGTCTGATACTCTTGAAAGCTTGAAAGCCCTTTCCACAGAATTTTCTTGTTTTTTTTCTTTTGTAAATGAGATTGGTCTTTTCCTCGACCCTCCCAATTTGCACAGGCTTGGGATCAGCATGCATGTGATGAAATATGCGCATGGCCATTTTTTTTACACATGTACCAGGGCCAATTTAGACATGAAGCAATTAAGCTGCCAGCATGTGTTTGGAATGTGGGAACAAACCCATTCAAGCACAAGGGGGACATGCAAACTCCATGCAGGTAGTGTCCTGGCCAGGGGCGGACTGACAACTCATGGGGCCCCCGGGTAATAGGGGATCATGGGGCCCCTGTGTCCTTGCCCAAACTCAAAAAAGCCTATGAAAAAAGTACCAAGGGCATCTCATGGGGCCCCCTACTGACCCAGGCCCTCGGGCAGTACCCTAGTTTCCAAATGGTCAATCCGCCCCTAGTCCTGGCTCAGATTTAATCCAAGAACTGTTGGGCATCAGTGAGAACCACTAAACCACTGTGCTTCCTATGTGGACACCTTTTTAAATCGTTGACTTGATGTTTTCAGTGATGCTACATCATACAAAGGCATATATATTTTTTTATTTGTGTGCTTCCAACTTTGGGGCAACAGTTTAGGGAAGGTCTTTTTCTGTTTCAACATGACTATGCCCCTGTGTACAAAGCCAGCTCCATAAAGACATAGTTTGATGAGCTTGCCTACACAGAGCACTGACCTCAACCATCTTTGGAATGAATCAGAAGGCCAATTGTGAGCCAGGTCTTCTCATTCAACATCTGTACTTTATGGCTCAATGGGCACCTATTCCCACAGATACTCCAACATCTTGTGGGAAGCTTTCTCAGAAGAATGGACGCTATTATAGACACAAAGAGATGTCAACTCTTCGTCAATGGCCATGGTTTTGGCATGGAATGCTCAACAAGCTAATACAAGTACCTGTATTATAGTCACATGTTATCAAACTCTTAGCCCTATGGGGTATGTGAAAATCAGCATATTCTTCCCATTGTCACGTCCTATTAGAAAAATGGCAGTTAGATTACTGGAATGACACATTTAATCTGATTGGCTGGTTTTAGCTACAGACAGTCTTTTCAAAAATAGAGCCAATAACTAGGATTAATATCCATAAAGTGCAAACAAAAATAAGAAAGTGTAGTAAATCACAAGCACAAATCAGATTAAGCCGTCAGGTCAGAACTGAACTCGGATTGGCTGCCATGACTTGTTCCATTTCTCACTGCCCATTGGCTTGATTTAATGAACATGTCTATAGTAGTCCAATAAAGAAATCTGCTTCTGAGTGAAATGGAGGTGAGAGTCTGTGGTCAAACGATGCATGGCAATGAAATGAAAATGAGACTTTCCATAAAAATTTATTTCTCTATACAAAACGTTAATAAACATCTCCATAAATGCAAAACAAAAAAATATATATAGATATATATATATTAGGATCGCTCCAATCTTTTTCTCAAGTAAGAGAACAATAAAGGATTTCTATCTATTGCATTCTACGCCTCTCTTACAATCAACTGCATAAATAATACCAAAAATAGAAACAAATCCAAATCTTACTAAAAGTTCACTGCTGTAGACATGGCTGGAATAGAGCAATAACCATCAAAGGCGCTGTTGCGATGCAATACATGCTTGTTCCAACAGGGGGAGCAACAGTGATGGCGTTAGTGTGCATGCTTACTGTACATGCAAGAAGCATTCTAGATACATTCTACTATGGTACGGCTTCGCCTAATGTACTGCAAGCAAGTACTTTCACTAAATGCTGAACCTCTTGACTTTAAAGAAGACTCATGTTACCTAAAACAACCAACCAGCTTCGCTCTCTCTGTTTCTAAACTGGCTTGATCGTTATGTACTACACAGACAGTACTTTCAGATATCTGTAAGCATGAGGCCCAGAGTGTCCCGGATTTGGACAGCTAGTTGAGGTAGTTTGTGTCAATGGATGTGATTTGTACAGAGAAAACAATCGGGCTAAAATAACTCTACATTCGCAAGCTTTGATGATGGACCGGTAGTATCAAGTTAAGTAGATGTAAACCCTAAATGGATGATACATTTAGCTCAAGTACTGTGTATCATAAAAAAACACTTTATGTTAAAATAAAATATGGGGTTTCTAGGGGTTCCTCAAGCTGTGGCTGATTGACCTCCTTTTTGATGGTGCCTACATGGTTTCGGGGCCAACACCACTTGGTGTAGCCAGTTGCTTGACACCAATGATCCCTTTAGCTGTCTGTAAGGGTGGCATTGTGACCTCCACTGTGAGTGGAGCATTCTTCTCCCTGGAAAACAAATATAAGGGACATTTTTTCCACTGACTCCTAAAAGAATTGGTTTTAGTGGGGTTCCCATGGGTTTCTCTGAAGTAACAAGGTTGAGAAAGACTGCTCTACAGGGTGACAATGCAGGGGAGAATTAGGGAGCCAGTGACTGGGTGTTGTCACCCCATATCAGGAAGGAACTTCATGTCAGGATCACCAGGTATTATTTTAATGAAATTCTGTGAATTTAAAAATTTTGGAAAGGACTGCTGAAGTTATTTGAGATTTTAGCCATTGGGTTTACATCTACAACGTACTTTAGCCTCAAAATATATAGTGCACTGAAGGAAACTAGTCTTCCTCCTAGGGAATAAAGACACTACTCAATCACAATTATAAAGTGCAACCAAAATAGTTGTGGGGTTCCCAGGGGCGGGTAACACAACCAAGCCAAAAAATACAAAGCACCTTCAATATTTCTTATAGAATTGATGAGATAATGTTATATACTGGCCTTTTTTTCCATTCTTGGACATAGTCAATAACCCAATGACTATAGCAATGGTGTGCAGCCACTAATAGTGAGCAACCAAAAGTCAACTCTTTTTTAATACTAAATAGCATATGCTGCCTTTTGATTGGTTAACTTGGGTTACTGGATTCTGTCGCAGGGTACTAGCAAACTATTCATGAAAGCAGTGCCAAAAGGAATGGGGATGTGCAGCCAGTTATGTTATTGTTTACTGCAGCCAGTGGTGTTAGTAGATTTCTGAATGGCTGCTCTTGAACTCTGTTAACAGCCTTGCTGCAGAGAGCAAAATAAAACTAAAATATTCACCTTTCCTGGAGAACATGCTGCTCCATCTTTTCTTGAGTACTTAAAAAAAGGCATGAAGCCCTCAAAGCAAGTCTGGAGCTCGACTATCCCCTTCAGCAAAGATGCAGCCAATGTGGCCATCACTGAAAGGAACTTGGAACAGTATTTTCTCAAGGAAAGGTAATTTAGTCCCTTAACATAACATTTTGCTAACATTTTAATACAAGACTAATTTTATTTGCCCATGTGACAGCTCTGAGCCAGTCATCAAGTACCAGTTCCATCACATGGGAGGAGTATTAGGTGGTGAGGCATAAGCTTCTCCATAGCTGAAAGGTGGTTCAGATTCTTTCAGTAGAGCTTTGACCATATGGCTTATGAGTGCAACCATGGGATGGGGCATACAGGGAAGATCAGTGATGTGAAGGGTGGGAGATTGGGCATACTTTTAACCCACGATTCTTTGAATACTGAGTGGCATAATATTAGGATGCTTGATTTAGTACTGCTTTTAAACAACACAGCCCATTGAAAACCTTCCTGTGGTATCAAAATATAATGAACAGAAACCCACCTCCATATGAATTCAGTGGTGGAAGTTAAGTGACAGACAACTGACATATATACTTTGGTGGTCTGGTTTTTCCAAACAAATTTTTACATTCTTCACCTTCAGGAAACATCCCTTACTTATTAACGTGGCCATTACTCATTGGCCACAGTTTTTGCACTTCTTTTGTCATTACCCATTGTCTACAATTTTGGTAAAAATCAACCCAGCTAAGCTAAGCCAAAACTTTGCAAATGGGGCTTTCCAACAAAATTTTGGGAATAAGAAATAAATTTGAGGTTAGTACAGTTACTTTCTCCTAAACGCGAGACCAGCTCTGTCGAAACAAACACAAAATCATAGCTTAGTTAATAAGGGCGGCTTTGTCAAGATGGCGAATTGCAAACTCGACAAGAGATGCAGAAGACGTCTTGCACGTAAGTAAAACTTACACATTGATGGAATACTATAGACATCCACGGGAACGAGCCTCCAGATTATAGCATAACCCCTTAGCACAGTCTTTAGCTGCAAGAGTATTTTAGGACTTTGTAGTCAAGGTCATTTTCCAAGTCTGAAGTCTTCAAGAAATGGCTAGAGTCCAAATTCTACAATTCCCTCTTGTTTCTTCCTAGTTAAATCTAGAAAGTGTCTTTAGAAAAAGGCCCAAGAAAAATCTCTGCAGGCTTAGTGAAGCTTACCCAACAAAATATCTAACCCAATAAGGATGGACAGTTAGGTCTTGGTGGCATCTCCACAATCAGCCATCGTTTGACCGGTGTAGTAGGACAAATCGTTCCCTCTGCATTTTCCTTGGTTATATTTAGACTCAGTTTTCTTTACTGCCCTCCCGGGTTTTTATCTCTCTGCCCGGATTTTGTAACGGAGTACAAAGTAGGCTATGAGACGCAGTGTGACAAAGAAGACTCCAAGGATGATGAAGTCTAGGTAGAGTTTGGCGTTCTCCACATCAAGTTCCTTCAGAATGGCTTCTGACTTCTGGAAATGGCATGTTTCATCCTTGTCGCAGTGCAGATCCTCTCTGTCGAGGCCATAAATGGATAATATCACCCCTTCAAATCCATATCTGGAAATAGAGTAGGAATTCAGCGAAACAGAACCTTACAACAACAATGGGACTCAACTTTTTTTTCTGAGGGACACTAAGAGGACCAACTATAAAGCAGTGGTGTTGCCTAACTGCAGCTATACCACTGTTTTTTCAAAAATACTCCATCACCGTGATAAAGCAAAAATGTGCTCTCCGATTAGTTTGCATCTTGACCCCAAATCAGAGAACATTCTGAAGGACATAGTAGGCTTCTCACTGAGCTCTGCATTGTATAAAATGACTCATAAAATGCAAACACACTGTGTAGTACCCACTGTAATGTCCTGCAGTGTCAGCTCTCAGTTATAAATAGGGACCTTAGATTGATGCCTAGCTGGCAGAAGTTGAGTGGAAGGCAGTTATTTGATATCTGTGGAATGAAAGGGATGGATTACCCGATTCCTCCTTCATCAGAGATGATCAAACTTATTTTTAGGGGGATTTAGAGGAAATCTTGTCACTTATAAAGCAGTCACAGTTCTGCTCAACCATCTGAAGCATTGGAAGGGATTTACTAAAACTGGTGCACACAAAAAATCTGGTGCAGCTGTGGAAAGTAACCAATCAGCTTCTAGGTTTTATTGTCAAACCTTAAAACAAGCTGAAGTTAGAAGCTGATTGGTTACTATACACAGCTGCACCAGATTCTGTGTGCACCTGTTTTAGTAAATCCCCCCCATTGTGGTTTTCATGTTGGATTTTTAAATCTGTGCAACCACTGCTGAAAAATCAGCAGTGGAGAAAAAAACAAGTCTCTTTGGTTTCCGTCATTTCAATGTCACACTCTAGAGTGGACTTCTACATGGGGCTGGTAGGTTTAAACCAGGGGCGGACTGACAACTCATGGGGCCCCCGGGCAATAGGGGATCATGGGGCCCCTGTGTCCTTGCCCAAACTCAAAAAAGCCTATGAAAAAGGTACCAGGGGCATCTCATGGGGCCCCCTACTGACCCGGGCCCTCAAGCAGTGCCCGAGTTTCCAAATGGTCGGTCCGCCCCTGGTTTAAACACTAGAAAAAAAATCAGTAAACTGTATAAATAGCCTAAACTTTGTCCTGTTGGGAAGATCCCTCTTAACTCCCTGTCTTGTGGACATAAAAGGAAGAAGTGAGAAGAAATCTCTGCAAAGTAAGCAAGATTTCCCTCTTAGATGACTGTTGAAGGAGCAAGTGTTATGGTAGATTAGCCCTCATTCTTGTTCTGGGGACAACTCTAAAATTTAAAATTTCCTTCACTTTCTTTCTTGGTGGAAATGCTGACCAGTACAAATATACAGAGGGGAAAATCTACCTAGTGATGAAACAGAAAGCCATAAAATGGGTGCACTTGATAGGGGTTCAAAGGCTTATTCCTACACTATCCAAAAAAAAAATTTAAGCTATAGCTACATATTAACAATGGGTGCACCAACAGTGAATTTTGTAGTACATTGATATTGGGAGCATGGTGCCCTAGGCTTTGTTTCTTGATGACAAATCCATTCAACAACCGAGTAACAAAAAACACGTCCACCATGGAGAAGACCAGCATAAGACTAATACTGTACCTGACATAGGACATGTAAGACATCCACTGAAGATAGGCAGGAATAGTGTCAAAGCTGACAAAGAATCCCGAAAAGAGGAGAACCGGGATGGCAGTTACCGGACCCACAAATGTCGCCACCTGAAGGACAAAAGATTAGTAAAAACTTATATTAATTTTTCATGCTTCAGTGTCATCCCAACATCTTAGGAAACACTCTGAACCTGTTATAGAAACTGGTTTATGCATCCCATTTCTGCAACACACGCACACAAACATATATACACTCACCAGCAACACAAATTGCTAATCAACCAATCACATGGCAGCAACTCAATGCATTTAGGTATCCAGATGTGGTGAAGACGACTTGCTGAAGTTCAAACTGAGTATCAGAATGGGGAAGAAAGGGGGTTTAAGTGACTTTGAATGTGGCATGGCTGTTGATGCCAGACAGGCTGAGTAGTTCAAAGACTGCTGATCAACTGAGATTTTCATGCACAACCATCTCTAGGGAAATCGAGACTCATCAGACAAGGCAATGTTTTTCCAATCTTCTCTGTCCAACTTTGGTGAATGTGTGCGAACTGCAACTTCCATTTCCTGTTCTTAGCTGACAGAAGTGGCACCCGGTATGATCTTCTGCTGCTGCAGCCCATCTGCTTCAGGTTGGACATATTGTGCATTCAGAGATGGTATTCTGCATACCTTAGTTGTCACGAGTGGTTATTTGAGTTCCTGTTGTCTTTCTATCATCTCGAACCAGTCTGTCCATTCTCCTCTGACCTCTGACATCAACAAGGCATTTTCATCCACACAACTGCCACTCACTGGATATTTTCTCTTTTTCGGACCATTCTTTGTAATCCCTAAAGTTTGTTGTGCGTGAAAATCCCAATAGATCGGCAGTTTTTAAAACTCATCTTCACCAGCGAGTCATCTTCACCACGTCTAGATGCCTAAATGCATTGAGTTGCTGCCATGTGATTTGCTTGTTTAGCAATTTGTGCTACCAAGCAATTGAACAGATGTACCGAATAAAGAGGCCGGTGAGTGTATATTTTCCTGAAAGCAGAGACCCATAAGAATAGGATTTTTTATGTCACTTGAGAGTAGCACAACGGTTTATCAAACGAATGGGAAGACATTTACAAAAACTGGTGCACACAGAATCTGATGCAGCTGTGCATAGAAACCAGTCAGCTTCCAGGTTTAAGTGCCCGACCACACTGGGTGCAACCTGCCATGAGACTTGCCATGCCATGCGAGCTGCAAATCGCATGGCAAGTCGCAACCTATTGTCCCCAATTAAAGCAGTCATATTGGTGCGATTCTGACTTGCTCTGAGCTGCACTGATTTCTAAAGTAGTGCATGCAAGATGGCCGATGAGTGTACATAGTATATAAAGTGCTGTACAAACTGTTGGCCCCAGGGGCGGACTGACCATTTGGAAACTCGGGCACTGCCCGATGGCCCGGGGTCAGTAGGGTGCCCCATGAGATGCCCCTGGTACCTTGTTCATAGGCTTTTTTGAGTTTGGGCAAGGACACAGGGGCCCTATGATCCCCTATTGCCCGGGGGCCCCATGAGTTGTCAATCCGCCCCTGGTTGGCGCTATATAAATCCTGTATATTAATTACATATATATATATATATATATATATATATATACACACATGGGCAGCACAGTCGCTAAATGGTTAGCACTTCCGCCTGGCAACACTAGGGTCGTTGGTTCGAATCCCAACCACGGCACCACCTGCCTGGAGTTTGCATGTTCTTCCTGTGCCTGCGTGGGTTTCCTCCGGGTACTCCAGTTTTCAAAGACATGCTGGTAGGTTAATTGGCTCCTGTCTAAATTGTCCCTAGTATGTGTATGTATGAATGTGAGTTAGGGACCTTAGATTGTATGCCCCTTGAGGGTTAGGGACTGATGTGAATATATAATATATGTGTAAAGTGCTGCGTAAATTGATGGCGTTATATAAGTACCTGTAATAAATATATATATATATATATACATACACATACACACTGTGTATACTGTACAGTTAACAAAAAAATATACTGTACAGTTTGAGAAAATAACAATTCTCAAAAGAAAACGTTAATACAAATTTTATTTAAAAATGTTTGTTTTTTAATTGCTGTTTTATATGTGTATATAGATATACAGTGCATTCAGAAAGTATTCATACCCCTTTCACTTTTTACAATTTTTTTATGCTGCAGCCTGATACTACAACTGCTTAAAATAATTTTTTTCCTCATTAAGCTACACTTGGCATCCCATAATGACAAAGTGAAAACAGAATTTTAGAAATGTCTGTGAATTTATTAGAAATGAAAAAACTGAAATATCAATTGGCATAAGTGCTCAGACCCTTTGCAACAACATTTGAAATGTAACATGATTATCAGCTATGTGAACAGACTTGATGAGAAAGGCGAGCATCTGCTGTGTTTCTTATTATATACAAGGAGCAAAATCTTGCCTAATAATATTTAAGAGGTCTATTTATAACAATGCTTGTGATATTCGCACAGCTGTCATGAATAATACCCGTATTTTCCTCATATGTTTATTTCCTATAATCATCAGCTCCATCTAGTATCCATAATGCAGTATTTTCCTGATTGAGGTATTTCAGGAAAGATAACACTATGGCCACTAGATGGTGCTAACGATCATAGGAAACAAGCATACAGTAAGTCTCCTACATACAAAAGGTGTGAACATGGGTTTGCATGTCCAGTCATGTAAAGTGGGGTACAAACACTCAATGTTTCTTTTGTTCAACCCAGTGGGCTGAACAGAAAAAAAAAAAAGTTGATAAATCACCGTACCAACACAAGCAATGTTGGTGCTGTGATCTCACCCCTTGTGCCTTTGTGTTCTCACAGGGGGACTTCCCTCACCAGGACATACTGATCAATGCTCGCAGCCATTGTCTGCAAACGCTGATCTTTGTTGGACTTACGAACAACTTGGACTTATGAATGCACTCCTGCACCGGACCTCATTTGTAAGTAGGGAAGGTAGGCTTCATTCACACTTGTGTGACTCGGATGGCTCTTTTTCTCAGAGAATAGGTGCAGGAACTCCCCGCTTCTGAGTCATTTCTTGTCTCCTCCCCCTTCCCACCTCTGAGCACTGTCTAATGGTTCCACCCCCTACCCACCTCTGAGCACTGTCTAATGGTTCCACCCCCCTACTCACCTCTGAGCACTGTCTAATGGTTCCATTCCCCCTACTCACCTCTGAGCACTGTCTAATGGTTCCATTCCCCCCTACTCACCTCTGAGCACTGTCTAATGGTTCCACCCCCCTACCCACCTCTGAGCACTGTCTAATGGTTCCACCCCCTACCCACCTCTGAGCACTGTCTAATGGTTCCACCCCTACCCACCTCTGAGCACTGTCTAATGGTTCCACCCCCTACCCACCTCTGAGGACTGCCTAATGGTTCCATTCCCCCTACTCACCTCTGAGCACTGTCTAATGGTTCCATTCCCCCTGAGCACTGCCTACTCACCTCTGAGCACTGTCTAATGGTTCCACCCCCTACCTACCTCTGAGCACTGTCTAATGGTTCCACCCCCTACCCACCTCTGAGCACTGTCTAATGGTTCCACCCCTACCTACCTCTGAGCGCTGTCTAATGGTTCCAACCCCTACCCACCTCTGAGCACTGTCTAATGGTTCCAACCCCTACCTACCTCTGAGCACTGTCTAAGTGGGCATGGGCCGTCACCCTTCCCAACTCTATTCAAAATTGAAAAAATAAAAGTTTTGGCTATACATGCACTTTAGGTAAAATGAACTTACCTGCAATGAAGTGGATGCGGCACCTATGAGGAGGCCTAAAGACTGCGCCACCAGCGACGTCATTGTACCAAGGGCGGAAAACAAAACAAACCGCACCGCATCTGAAGGCTGTGACGTCATCCAGTACACAATACTGCAGTACGCTACAGGGAACATGATCTACAAAGGAAATAGAAAAGCGTGACATCATTAGTATGTGCAACACTGAGCTCACACAGTATTAGGATACATCTGTTTGCTGGTTTTCTATGAGCTGCAGCAATATCAGCAATGCAAATCGAAATTGACAATCGGTTAAATGCCTAATGGACTGCTTGTGGGCTGCTGCTTGGATTTACCCCCTAGGAGACCAGGATCTAAACGTAATCCTTACTCAGACTCTTGTAAAATACAGTACCTGCTATTCTTCTATAATAAGATATTGAGTTGACCCCATGCATTGTAAGAAAATAAAACTTGCACGATTGGTTAAAAACTTAGCCGAAATCTAGAGTTGTATACAATATTCGAAATACGCTTTCAATCTGGGGCTGGCAACCACAACCATTAAACTCTCTTCCTCTGAGCTCCGGGTACAAGTTCCCATGATCCGGGGATTGGGCTGGCCACTCCATAACGTCAATCTTGTTGGTCTGGAACCAAGATGTTGCACGTTTACTGGTGTGTTAGGGGTCGTTGTCTTGTTGGAACACCCATTTCAAGGGTATTTCCTCTTCAGCATAAGGCAGCATGACCTCTTCAAGTATTCTGATGTATTCAAACTGATCCATGATCCCTGGTATGCGATAAATAGGCCCAACACCGTAGTATGAGAAACATCCCCATATCATGATGCTTGCACCACCATGCTTCACTGTCTTCACAGTGTACTGTGGCTTGAATTCAGTGTTTGGGGGTCGTCTGACAAACTGTCTCCGCCCACTAGACCCAAAAAGAACAATCTTACTTTCATCAGTCCACAAAATGTTGCGTCATTTCTCTTTAGGCCGGTCAATGTGCTCTTTGGCAAATTGTAACCTCTTCAGCACATGTCTTTTTTCCAACAGTGGGACTTTGCGGGGGCTTCTTGCAGATAGCTTGGCTTCACATAGGCGTCTTCTAATTGTAACAGTCCTCACAGGGAACGTCACACCTTCTTTCATCTTCCTGGAGCTGATTGTTGGCTGAGCCCTTGTCATTTTGGCTATTCTTCTATCCATTCGAATGGTAGTTTTTCGCTTTCTTCCACGTCTTTCAGGTTTTGGTTGCCATTTTAAAGCATTTGCGATCATTTTAGCTGAGCAGCCTATCATTTTCTGCACTTCTTTATATGTTTTCCCCTCTCCAATCAACTTTTTAATCCAGGTACGCTGTTCTTCTGAACAATGTCTGGAACGACCCATTTTCCTCAGAATTTCAGAGAGAAATGCACTGTAACCAGCATGTACAACATTTGCTGCCTTCCTTCCTTAAATAAGGGCAATAATTGCCACCTGTTTTTCAAAGAATGAATGACCTCACTAATAGAACTCCACACTGCTATTATTTTGAACATGCCCCTTTCAATTAGTGATTCAATTACACAGAATCAGCAGCATGCATGTCATGACTGTTGGGTCTGTTGGATTTCTATGACTCTACTACACCTGCTAGTAAATTATTTGCCATGTAGAAATATCATTTCTACCAAAAACAGTGATTGATCCGGTTAGTGATGTCTGACTGCTATTATTTTGAACACAACTGTGTGTATATATATATATATATATATATATATATATATATATATATATATATATATATATACATACAGTGGGGCAAAAGAGTATTTAGTCAGCCACCAATTGTGCAAGTTCTCCCACTTAAAAAGATGAGAGAGTCATTTGCCTGTTTGCTTCTCTCTTAGAGAAATGCCTGAGGCATGCTGACCAAGCTGGCAAGGAAAGTGGATTGAAAGAGAGGAGTCTATGCTTGTCTCATTTGGCTGTGTGCACTTCTGGAGCTTTTGAGCTCTGTAAACAGCTGACGCACTCCCTGGTTGCATCATCATACTGGCTCGGCCTCATATTACTACTACACATATCTTTTTAAACCAATGTTTTTTTCACTATTTATATAATATTAATGTTTTATAAATACACTTATAATAAAAAGTGTACCCAAGGCACAGGATTCCCAGAGCACTATGGGTTAATTAGGCAAAGAGCCCACCAGATGCCAGAGATATGTCTGAGCCAATCCAACAGACCTAATATAAATAAAAGTGCAGCGCTAAGTAATAAATCTGAAAATTGTCCACTGTAAGTCCAGTTCATATAAACGTGCCAGGTGACAAATGGAGATCCACAATGGTGATCCGTGAGGAAGTAGCAGAAATGCGCACTCACCAGAAGGCGGATATATATAAGCAGTATATATCAAAAGCTCATGGATCCTCGGTCAAGAAGAAACCTAGGTGAGCACAGAGAAACAAACATGTGAAAGAACAGCAAGGAGGAGTACCTCTTTGCAGAGTCCTTATTAGGAATTCAAGCATCCACCTAAGAGGAGGAAGAATTTTGCTCTGCACCCTTGAGGAAAGGAAAGGCCAATCCACAGTGACCAGACCTGTTTCTTCTTGACCGAGGATCCATGAGCTTTTGATATATACTGCTTATATATATCCGCTTTCTGGTGAGTGCGCATTTCTGCTACTTCCTCACGGATCACCATTGTGGATTTCCATTTGTCACCTGGCACGTTTATATGAACTGGACTTACAGTGGACAATTTTCAGATTTATTACTTTCTAGGATCAGCGCTCACTTTTTTCATTTTCTATAGAATCCAACAGACCTGGCAGGGAAGGCGGACTGAAGGAGAAGAGTTCATGCTTGTACTCATTCGGCTGTGTGCTCATCTTGAGCTTTTGAGCTCTGTAAACAGCTAATGCACTCCCTGGTGGCATCATCATACTGGCCCAGCCTCATATTACTACTACACATATCTTTTCAAACCAATGCTTTTTTCACTATTTATATAATATTAATGTTTTATAAATAAACTTTATAATAGAAAGTGAATCCAAGGAACAGGATTCCCAGAGCACTATGGGTTAACTATGCAAAGACCCCACCAAACGACATTTGCCCTTTTGCTTCTTTCTAAGAGAAATGTCTGAGCCAATCCAACAGACCTGGCAGCGAAGGCGGACTGGTGGAGAAGAGTTCATGCTTGTACTCATTTGGCTGTGTACTCATCTTGAGCTTTTGAGCTCTGTAAACAACTGACACAGCCTCTGGTGGCATCATTATGCTGGCTTCACCTCAGAACACTACTACACAGAGGGGTACTTACACTTTATCATGCGGGCAAGGCAACACGTCAAACCAATCAGCTTTGAGTACACTGCATAGTGCTGTTAATCGTACAGATGGAGTTTGCTCATTAGAGAAGAGAGCACAGAGAGGATCTTATTGATGAGGTGCTGCTACTTCACTACCCAATCACATCCCTGACCAAGCTGTGCAGTTTTGCCTGTAGTGGAGGAAAGTAAATGGTCATGGCCTTGCATAGTTCCTGGCAGGGGATTCTGGATTAGAAATAGGCTTTTACTAAAAACATCTGAGACTGAAGACTGAAGGTGAAAAAAGAACTTTGCATGTTGCCCACATTAACCAACCAGATCCTTCCTTTCAATTCCCCACACTGCACAAGACCCTTAGAACAGACATTATAATTGGCTGCATTTAACTACAAGGACTGTTCTCCTTTCACGTTTTCACTTCGCATTATCAGGCCTCGTGTTGCTTTACCTGGAAGGGGACGTCGGCCATCGTTTTGGCTAAGTAGTACGCCTTCAGGCTATACCAATAGTTGAGATGTTCTCTGAGAAACACTCCCATTTCAAGTGGAACTATTAGAAACAATAAAAAAAGAACGATTGTCATAAAAAATAATAAAAAAAAAAAAAAGAATAATAATAGTAATCATAATAAAAATACTAGTCCCTAAGTGTTTTTTTGTTGGATGCCTGGCCCTTTAAGTGGGCTTCAGTGTAGAGGTGGAGCGGTTTCATGATCACATGACTGTGGTGATTGGCTCTCACAATGGTCACATGACCTGCTGACCCCAGATCAGAAGCCTCTGACCGACAGCTGTTGGAGGCAGTTTGGTCATTGTCTTGGGAACTTGCAGTAAGCTCACTCTCGGCTCACAAACTCAGACCACCATGGACACATATATGAGACAGTGAGGCGTTCAAGCCTACTTACCTTGTCACCCAGGGGCGAACTGACAACTCATGGGGCCCCCGGGCAATAGGGGATTATGGGGCCCCTGTGTCCTTGCCCACACTCAAAGCACACTCAAAAAAGCCTATAAAAAGGTACCAGGGGCATTTCTTGGGGCCCCCTACTGACCCCGGGCCCTCGGGCAGTGCTTGAATGGTCAGTCCGCCCCTGCTGCCACCACATATAGGCGTCATATGGTCTAGAAGAGATTAAAGCTGCACTATAATCATTTGTTTGTGGGGTGCAGTCAAATAATAGACCTCCTATGTCCAGCTGAATGCTGTTTACTGTACAAATCCTCCCTTCATTGATGTCGGATACGATAAAGAATGGTGATCTTCCAGTGCTGCGAGAGTGAAAGGCAGTGGCTGCCACACTGCTGAGATCCAATTACTCACCCTGCATTTTCTCCCCAATGGTCCAATCACATAAAGCCTTGTATCATTTTAACAGGATGCAAGGTATTATGTGAATGGATGAGGGTGGGGGGCAAATGAATGATGGGATCTCACCTTATCTATTCAACCAATGCTAACCTTAGGGTCTGGTATGGAACTTGGGAGGGAAGCAAAGAAGGGGGGTGTCTCATGCCATTTTGTTTTATTTTGTCTGTATGTGGGGTCCCCCTTAAAAGCCATGACAGACCCTCATTAAGAATAATGCTATTGAGATAAAAAAGACAGCAGCAAAAAGTTACTCACTGCAAATAACACTATTATTTTCTTTCATAAAATGTCAATTTGGCTGCAGTACTTTCTACACATTCTACAGGTGCTCCAAAAATGCCCCCCCCCCCCCAATACAACACTAGACTTATATCTTTGATTATGGTCTAACAAGGATATTAAAAAGGGTTCCCCGTGCAAAAAAGAAAAAAAAAACAAAAAAAAGTGGAGTTCACTCTTAAAAGTCCATACCAGTCCCTAATACAGGCATGCAGCCTTACATTCTGTGCATGGATCAGGAGAGGGGAAGGGTGGATGAATAACAGGATCTCCCCTTGTCTATTCAACCAATGGTTACATTTATTTGCTGATTCCCTCTAGTGCTCTTTAAGAATTGCTACACTGTACAAAGATGACAAGTATGTATTTACTCAATTAATTAAAGTGTTACTAAACCCCGGACCCTGCATTCACTATATCCGGTCTCCTCGGACCCTGCATTCACTATATCTGGTCTCCCCGGACCCTGCATTCACTATATCTGGTCTACCCGGACCCTGCATTCACTATATCCGGTCTCCCAGGACCCTGCATTCACTATATCTGGTCTCCCCGGACCCTGCATTCACTATATCTGGTCTACCCGGACCCTGCATTCACTATATCTGGTCTCCCCGGACCCTGCATTCACTATATCTGGTCTCCCCGGACCCTGAATTCACTATATCCGGTCTCCCCGGACCCTGCATTCACTATATCTGGTCTCCCCGGACCCTGCATTCACTATATCCGGTCTCCCCGGACCCCGCATTCACTATATCCGGTCTCCCCGGACCCTGCATTCACTATATCTGGTCTCCCCAGACCCTGCATTCACTATATCTGGTCTACCCCGACTCTGCATTCACTATATCTGGTCTCCCAGGACCCCGCATTCACTATATCTGGTCTCCCCGGACCCTGCATTCACTATATCTGGTCTCCCAGGACCCCGCATTCACTATATCCGGTCTCCCCGGACCCTGCATTTACTATATCTGGTCTACCCGGACCCTGCATTCACTATATCTGCTCTCCCTGGACCCTGCATTTACTATATCTGGTCTCCCCGGACCCTGCATTCACTATATCTGCTCTCCCTGGACCCTGCATTCACTATATCCGCTCTCCCCGGACCCTGCATTCACTATATCTGGTCTCCCCGGACCCTGCATTCACTATATCCGGTCTCCCCGGACCCTGCATTCACTATATCTGGTCTACCCGGACCCTGCATTCACTATATCTGATCTCCCCGGACCCTGCATTCACTATATCTGCTCTCCCTGGACCCTGCATTCACTATATCCGCTCTCCCCGGACCCTGCATTCACTATATCTGGTCTCCCACAATACACAGAACATGGAAATGCAATTATTTTAGTAAATATAAACTGCTAAACACCTTTTCTCATCAGCAGTTAGAGCAGTCTTGTGACTTCTATCAGTGTTCAGCAGAGCACTGGTTACAGCTTGTAGGAGGAGTTTTCATTCTCCTGTAGGAGGCTGCAGGACCCCTGACCTCTGTCGGGAGAGTGCTGATTGACACTGTGCTGATCACATGCACTCTCCCAAGAAAAAAAAAAAACAGAGCATGTGCAGAGTGACTCCTAGAGCTCTGTATTATCAGCAGATGGATTGGGGACAGTAGAAGAAGGGGAGGATCAGATAAAACAGGAACAAACAGCATTTTTACACAATGTAGAAGATTAACCCCTTAGGCTCCACAGTGAGTATAACCAGCATGCTTTACTGCATCTACAGACTGATTGTACTGTTGTGGGTTTAGTAACACTCTATTAGCATCAATTTGTATATCACTACTCCCCATAATAAAAGAACATTCGCTTACTACAGAAAATAGCTGAAACATCTATTATTGTCCAGTTGGAGCAGAATATGAATGTACATGATCATTCACTGGGCGAGCGGCTATGTAATTATTTTTTATAAACAGACCCCTTAAGGGTAGATTTAGACATGCATCTAAGTCTTCCTTTCCTCTGAAGCCCGATCTGTGCCTGGATCGCACTTCAGAAACTACTGACAGGCAGTGAGGAAGCAATGTGATGCCTCCTCACCACCTCTTTTAATCCCATTTTTGCAGACAAATCCGGTTGTGGGGCTTTTGCAGCTCTTCCCCATTTACTTGAGTGTGTAGCATTCGGGTAAACTTTGCCGTGGGTGCAAAGCATTATGATCGGAGCTTGGGTGGGCGCAGAAATGCACATTATTGTAGCCCCCCCAAACACATCTTTAATGAAGCTTTATTATTATTACTATTATTTTACAGGATTTATATAGTGCCAACAGTTTGCTCTTAGAAACTATGAGGCCCCATACAGCCAACCTGACAGTCCTCAAAAACAAAGGGCTGTCAGTGCTTCAGTTATGAATGAACAACACAGTGATTGGTACTGATCACTCATTGTGTTGATTCAGAAAAGAAAGGGGCTGGTAAAATGTGACATATTTCCAGAAACGTCCCCCACTTTCCATCCTGAAAGATCCTATTTTGCGCTTGAAGCTGCTGGTGAGAAGGAGAGGAGGGAGGCTGGCAGCACTGTGGGGGGCACACAGGGGAGCCTGGGTAGCAGAAGGAAACGAATGGTGCACAGGGAGGGTGATGGGTACACATATGATCCTATGCATGGCTCTGTGCAGCAGCTGAAAGCGGCAGAGAGAGCCATACAGGGGATCGGTTCCAGTAATTGCCCCCCTGTTGAGCTGATCACCCTCTCTGCCCGCATCTGATTCGCCCAGCTGTCTGGGACCCCCTGCTGGCCAGAGCCCCGTACAGGAGGACTGGTTGTACCACCTCATACACGGCCCTGTGCGCAGCACTTTACAACATGAGGGCAAACAGTACAGTTACTGTAATACAATTCAATGCAGGAGGAACCAGAGGGCCCTGCTCAATAATCTAGGAAGCCTTATGCAGACCATACAAGGGTCGAATTCCAAACAAATTTTTCTTTAGAAGATCAGAAATTTCATGCACTTTGTAATCCGATGGCGCCACCATTGATCTCGAAATTCAACCAACCAAGCCTTCAATTTCACGTCATGTTGCTACAGAAAAAATTTTTTCGTGTCCAAGAATTTTCTTTCCAGGTCACAGCTCATGCTCGTTTCTTTATCGTTTATATTCCTCGCACGATTCTCCCATCACTGATTCAAAAATTAGTTTGTTTCTTTAAAATATTTCAAACATGCCCGATCACTCAGATTCAATGGTCGATCCAAGTCCGTTTCCATGACCCACTAATGGTGCGAAATTAGAACGAAAATTCTTAGAAAGGATTTTCAAAAGAAAATTATTTCGGAATTCAACCCGTGTATGGCCGGCTTTAGGCCTCATTCACATCAATGTCATTTGAGATCTCAGGTAGAATCGCTCCGAGTCTGCACACAATCCAAGATCAATACCACAACTATCAGTCTCTCCCCTCATGCCAGGGTCCTAGGTGTAATCCTAGACTCCCATCTGTCCTTCCAGCCCCAGATCCAATCACTGCCCAAATCATGTAGACTTCACCTCCGCAACATCTCCAAGATACGTCCGTTCCTAACCTTGGAAACTACTAAGCAACTTATTCACTCCCTGGTTATATCTCGCCTTGACTATTGTAACTCCCTCCTCATTGGCCGACCTCATCGCAGGCTATCTCCTCAGTCTATCTCTATCATGAATGCTGCTGCCAGACTCATCCACCTTACTAACCGCTCTGTATCTGCCACCCCTCTCTGCCAATCCCTCCACTGGCCTCCACTCAGTGTCCTCCACCCCTCTCTGCCAATCCCTCCACTGACCTCCACTCAGTGTCCTCCACCCCTCTCTGCCAATCCCTCCACTGGCCTCCACTCAGTGTCCTCCACCCCTCTCTGCCAATCCCTCCACTGGCCTCCACTCAGTGTCCTCCACCCCTCTCTGCCAATCCCTCCACTGGCCTCCACTCAGTGTCCTCTACCCCTTCTCTGCCAATCCCTCCACTGGCTTCCCATTGCCCAACGGATATAATTCAAAACATTAACAATCACATATAAAGCCATTTATAACTCTGCCCCAAATTACATCACCGATCTTGTCTCCAAATATCACCCAAACTGTACTCTCTGCTCTTCGCAAGACCTCCTACTCTCTAGCTCCCTTGTCTCCTCCTCCCATGCTCGTCTCCAGGACTTCTCCAGAGCTTCTCCCATCCTCTGGAATTCTCTACCCCAATTTATCAGACTATCGCCTACTCTGCTCACTTTTAGGCGATCTCTGAAAACGTCTCTCTTCAGGGAAGCCTATCCTGCCCTCAGCTAATAATGGAATCTTCTACTCTTCCAACCAGTCCATCCCCCACAGTTACTACATTTGTACCACTAGCCCCTCCCTCTTAGATTGTAAGCTACAAGGATCAGGCCCCCCTATCCCTCTTGTATTGAACTGTATTGTTGCTGTATTGTCTCCCATTATAATGTAAAGTGCTGAGCAAACTGTTGGCGCCATATAAATCCTGTATAATAATAATAATCCCAAAGAGCTCTGCATCACATGAAGCTTGTCGCCCAAATAGGGGTGTCTCCCACTCATCTCCAGAATGGCATTCTTCTGCATTTTCCCCACACAAGATCATGTGTATCCAGGACTGTGTTTGCACTGGTTCTCACAAGTTGATCACAGTCAATGAACACTGATCAATAAGAAAAGATCATAGGTGGTACTCACAGGTGAGGACTGTTGGCATGAGGGCGGCAAACATCAGGAAGAGCATGGAGAAGAAGAGAAATCCCGAGTTGCTCAGGACTTTTTTGGCCTCATTTCCAATTCCAAGATACAGTAATCCTATGAGGAGGCCAATCCCTATGTGTGATGTGATACGGAGGTGGGTCAGCACCTAGAAAGGCAGAGAAAGTCAGGAGTCATTAGTATCAATGACGGAACAATGATGTTCTCAATGCAGGACATCTGGAAAACTAACATGTTAAAGTGCACATTTTGGGCCTAAAGATGACTTCAACCTCCCACACATTATACATTCACTGCCCACTTTATGAGGTCCACCTTGTTAGTGCCAAGAAAATCTCCCCCATACCATGACACCACCACCACCAGCACCACCACCAGCCTGAATTGTTGATACAAGGCCAGGGGTGGACTGACCATTTGGAAACTCAGGCACTGCCCGAGGGCCCGGGGTCAGTAGGGGAGCCCATGAGATGCCCCTGGTACCTTTTTCATAGGATTTTTTGAGTTTGGGCAAGGACACAGGGGCCCCATGATCCCCTATTGCCCGGGGGCCCCATGTGTTGTCAGTCCGCCCCTGTACAAGGCAGGATGGATCCATGCTTTCATGGTGTTTAGGCCAAATTCTGACCCTGAATGTCGTAGCTGAAATCCAGACTCATCAGACTAAGCAATGTTTTTCCAATCTTCTATTGTCCAGTTGTGGTGAGCCGGTGTGAACAGTAGCCTCTGTTTCCTGTTCTTAGCTGAACCTTCTGCTGCTGTAGCCCATCTGCTTCAAGGTTCAACGTATTGTGCGTTCAGAGATGGTATTCTGCATACCTGGGTTGTAACGAGTGGTTATTTGAGTTTCTGTTGCCTTTCTATCATCTGGAACCAGTCTGCCTCTCCTCTCCATTCTCCTCTGACCTCTGACACCAGCAAGGCATTTCCTCCGCACAACTACCACTCACTGGATATTTTCTCTTTTTTGGACCATTCTCTGCAAACCCTAGAGATGGTTGTGCCTGAAAATTGCAGTGGATCAGCACCAACAACCATGCCACATTCAAAGTCAGTTAAATCCCCTTTCTTTCCCATTCTGATGCTCGGTTTTAACTTCAGCAAGTCATCTTCACCACGTCTGGATACATAAATGCATTGAGTTGCTGCCAAGTGATTGGCTGATTAACAAGCAATTGAACAGGTGTACCTAATAAAGTGAGTGTATATTTTCTGAAGGTAGCAACCCTTAGGCCCCTTTCACATGGGTGTTCCATATGTCTGTTTTTCATCTGTCCGTTTATGGATGAAAAACAGACCTCCATGTATTTCTATGGACTTTCGGATGTAAACGGATGAACATCTTTTTACATCTGTTAATGTCCACATCCGTTAAGATCCGTTTTTTTAAGTGAAGAAAACCCTATGTTTCTTCCGCAAAAAAACCCGGAACAGACGAAAAATGGTTGTCAATGGATGTAAACAACCAAAAATGGATGTAAACAGATGAGAACTGATGAAAAATGGATCTAAACAGATCTAAATAGATGAAAAACGGATGTAAACCAATGTAAACGTATGAAAAACAGATAAAAAAAACGGATGTAAACAGATGAAAAAACAGATGCAAATGGATGAAAAAACAGATGTAAATGGATGAAAAAACGAATGTAAACAGATGAAAAAAACAGATGTAAACATGAAAAAACGGATGAAAAACAGATGAAAAAACAAATGAAAAAAACGAATGTAAACGGATGAAAAGCAGATGAAAAAACGGATGCAAACAGATGAAAAAACAGATGTAAACAGATGAAAAAATGGATGTAAACAGATGAAAAACGGATGTAAACTCATTCATTTTTTCTTTGAAGAAAAAAAAATTGAAGAAAAAAAACAATGTAAACGGATGAAAAACAGATGAAAAAACGGATGTAAACAGATGAAAAAACAGATGTAAATGGATGAAAAAACGAATGTAAACAGATGAAAAAACAGATGTAAATGGGTGAAAAAATGGATGTAAACATGAAAAAACGGATGAAAAACAGATGAAAAAATGTATCGAAACATATGAAAAACAGATGAAAAAACAAATGAAAAAACAAATGTAAACATATGAAAAAAGCAGATGAAAAAACGGATGCAAATAGATGAAAAAACGGATGAAAAACAGATGAAAAACGGATGTAAACAGATGAAAAAACAGATGAAAAAACAGATGTAAACCAATGTAAACGGATGAAAAACAGATGAAAAAAACAAATGAAAAACGGCTGTAAACGGATGAAAAACATGAAAAAAACGGATGCAAACAGATGAAAAAACAGATGTAAATGGATGAAAAATGGATGTAAACAGATGAAAAAACGGATGAAAAACATGAAAAAACAGATGTAAACAGATGAAAAAACGGATGTAAACAGATGAAAAAAACGGATGTAAACTCATTCATTTTTTCTTTGAAGAAAAAAAAATTGAAGAAAAAAAACGCCCGTGTGAAAGGACCCTAAATAATAGGATTTTTTATGTCACTTGAGAGTAGCACAACGGTTTATTAAACACATGGGAAGGGATTTACAAAAACTGGTGCTCACAGAATCTGACGCAGCTGTGCATAGAAACCAATCAGCTTCCAGGTTTAGGTGCATAGTCACACCGAGTGCAACTTGCCATGAGATTTGCAACGCTATGCGAGTTGAAAATTGCATGGCAAGTGGCACCCTATTGTCCCCAATTAACCACCTGCTGACCGCAGATAGCCCAATGACGGCTACACGGGGGCCGGCCAGTTCTGGGTGGGCGTCATATGACGTCCTCTCAGAATGCGCTCTCCTGCGCACCCCCGGGGGCGCACACCTGGTGATCTCCATAATCGCTGTGTCCTATGGACACAGCTGATCCCGTGATGTGGTAAAAGGCCAATCACAGTGGCCTTTTACCACGTGATCAGCCATGTCCAATGACACAGCAGATCACCGGGAAATGCAATTGCCGGTTCTCGGCTGCACTTTCTTCACGTTATCAAAGCGTGAGGAAAGTGCTGCCGAGAACTGGCAGTTGTCAGATCAGGGATCGGCACCGATCATCAGGGCACTGATGATCAGTGCCCTGATGATCGGTGCCCAGCAGTGCCACCCACCAGTTTCGCCCACCTGTACCCAGCAGTGCCACCCACCTGTGCCTAGCAGTGCAACCAACCTGTGCCACCCAGCAGTGCCACACACCTGTGCTCAGAAGTGCCACCTACCTGTGCCCAGCAGTGCCACCCACCTGTGCCCACCCACATGTGCCCACCAGTGCCACCCACACACGTGCCCACCAGTGCCACCCACCTGTGCCCACCAGTGCCACCCACCAGTGCCCATCGGTGAAGTCCAGCAGTGCTGCCAGTCAGTGCCTAGTGGTTGTGCCAGTCAGTGCCCAGCAGTTGTGCCAGGCAATGCCTAGCAGTGCCGCCAGTCAGTGCCCAGCAGTGATGCCAATCAGTGCCACCTATCAGTGCGGTCTATCAGTGCCACCTATCAGTGCTATCAGTGCCACCTATCAATGCCGCCTGTATGTGACACCTCATTAGTGCTGCCTATCAGTGCTGCCTATCAGTGCCCATTAGTGCCCATCAGTGCTGCCTCATCAACGCACATCAGTGAAGGAGAAAAATTACCTGTTTGAAAAATTTTATAATAGAAACAAAGAAACTTTTTTGTTTATATCGCAAAAAGTAAAGTGCCCAACGGCGATTAAATACCACCAAAAGAAAGCTCTATTTGTGAGAAAAAAGTGATAAAAATGTCATATGCGTATAATCTTGCATGACCGCGCAATTGTCATTCAAAGTGCGACAGCGCTGAAAGCTGGAAATTGGCCTGGTAAAGAAGGGGGTATAAGTGCCCGGTAGACAAGTGGTTAAAGGGGTCATATCAGTGTGATTCCAACTTGGTTGGAGCCGTACCAATTTTGACCTCCGGTTCACATATATGTGGCCATGCGTGCCGCGTTTTGCACGGGTACGAGAGCACATTCATTTGAATGGACTCCCGTGCCCGTGCCCGTGACACGCAGGGAAGTCCCTGCACTTCTTTGGAAAACTCAACCTGCACGGGAACCTCGGTATGGTTGCGTTTTCTAGTGCGGGCGGCGTGCCTTAAGAACTAATGGCACCCGCCCGCGGGTCCGCAATTCTCTGTGCGTGTGGTGCGGCTGCACAGATTTTTGTGCGGATTCGCAGCGGCACCACACACACATAGGTGAACCTAGGGTAAAGTAGAGCATGCACTACTTCAGGTGCGACTTGCATAGACATCTGTGTCTTGCAAGCTGCACCTCAAGTCAGAATGACATCCGACCAGTCGCGGACTGACAACTCATGGGGCCTCCGGGCAATAGGGGATCATGGGGCCCCTGTGTCCTTGCCCAAACTCAAAAAAGCCTATGAAAAAGGTACCAGGAGCATCTCATGGGACCCCCTACTGACCCCGGGCCCTCGGGCAGTGCCCGAGTTTCCAAATGGTCATTCCGCCCCTGCATCCGACTTTGAGATCGTGCGACTTCACTGGAAGTCGCACAATTTCAAAGTTGGATCGATGTGACCGGGGTGTTATTGTCAAGGCTTGATTGAGCAAGCTGAAGTTAGAAGGTGATTGTTACTGAGCACAGCTGAACCAGATTCTGTGTGTGCCAGTTTTATGCAGGCCATAGACAGGTCGTTTATCGGCCGAATTTTCGTCCGCACGAAAAATCAGCCGATAATCACGCTGTTAGTGGGGCCAGCCCATCGGCCGTTTTTCGCGGATCTCCTCATTTATTTTTATTGGTCATGCTGGAAAATCCACATTGGTGGCAGCATCGGCAACGGGGCCGACTGATTTTTCATTTATCGGCTGAAAATTTGGCTGATAAATGCCATGTCTATGGCCTGCCTTAGGAAATCTCCCCCAATGTATTTTCAGTTAACAAAATAAAATACTTAAATTAATTTTAGGAAAACAAGTGTCATATATGGCCTATTTCATTTTTGCTGAAATATGCAAGATGAGGCTGTGCTGAGTAAATAAATACTCAACATTTCAATCTGTACAAATTGCACATGCCTGGAAAACAGCAAAAAACTTGGGTACAACAAAATTTTCCATGGGTGCCCTCTGGAGAATTTACCCCACCCCCCTCCTGACCAGGCCATTTTCTGCCATACATCGCTGCATTACTTTAACTGACAATTGCGCATTGGTCGTGCAATTTATGTCCTTCTTTCCCCACAAATAGAGCTTTCTTTTGGTGGTATTTGGTCACCTGAGTGTTTTTTTTTTTTTTTTGCACTATAACTAAAAGAAGATTGACAATTTTGAAAAAAACTATATTTTTGACTTTTTGCTATAAAACATATCCAATAACATTTTTTTAAAAATCTAATGTCATCATAAATTTAGGCCAAAATGTATTCTGCTCCATGTATTTACTAAGAAAAAATCCCAATACGTGTAAATTAATTGGTTTATGTGACCGTTATAGCGTCTACAAATGGCGGTATATACACACAGGAATTTTTATTTAATTTTTTTTTTATACTAGTAATGGTGGCGATCAACGACCTATAGTGGGACTGAGGTGGGCATTCTGATACTTGGTGTCACTGACATCTCCAGTGACACTAATACAGTGATCAATGCTAATAAAAAGCACTGACACTGTACTAAAGACACTGGGCAGGAAGGGGTTAACACCTGGGGCGATCAAAGGGTTAACTGTGTGCTGTGTGTGTTTTTACTAGGGAGACATGCTGTGCAGAGAGATACAAAGCAGCATATCCTTGTCGGCAGAGAGGCATGTGTTGTTTACACACAGGTCTCTCCCCTGTCAGCTTTCCCCAATGATCGCCGGGTTCTGGCGGGGAATCTTCGTCTGGGACCCGGTGATTGACATCCCTGACCACCAATGGTGGGCTCCCTACCCGGAAATGAAAATCATATATATATATATATATATATATATATATATATATATATATATGTGATTTTGTGCAGCCCTGCCGCCGCAGTATTTCTGCTATAGGGCGGGGGGAGTGGTAGGCCCTTATAGGTCATCAGTTTAGAGTTACCATGTGCTGCGATACGTTGTAGAGCAGTTGAGAATGTATGCATGTAGGGGCGAGGGGCTTTATATATATATATATATATTTATTTATTTATTTAATTTTTTTTATATATATATATTTTTATATATTTTTTTTAAAGTTTTAATTAATTTTTTTTTCTACTTTAAACTTTTCAACGTTTAGTTGCTTTCACATAGGGGACTGCCAAGTTATATTATCACTTTACAGACACCACTTCTCAATTGTCTGTAGTAAATGTTTGTCATTAAAAAAACATGTACAAATAAACCATATACCAATGCAAACAGAATAAATAAATAAACATTTGTAATTTCAACCACTTTCTGGGCCAAGTGGTGCATTATCTGACAGAAATTCAGGGGTGCCAATATTTTGGGCCAAGACTGTGTGTACAGTATATATATATATATATATATATATGGATCCAAAAACTTACCGAGTCCCTCATAATACTAAGACAGGTTCTCTTGAACAGGATACAGAACTGGGTAAGACAGCTGGCTGAGAAGCTGTGACATCCTTCGGTGGGTGAGGAGTCCTACAAAACATATATACATTATTGTCACAAAGCCCGATACGGTGTAAGAATACATAGTATTATCACCTGCACAGAAGCATTAACTTTTCGCCTTAACATTTTCTGCTCTGTTTTTTATTTAAACTGCAACATGCTGCAGTTTTGACCATGTCATCTTCTTTTCATTACATTATTGTCAATGGAAAGCAGGTGTCCCCTGGCATTCTATTTTCAGTTCCATAGGTCTGTACATTGACCACTGAAAAACATATAAAACTACATTCTACAATTTCTGTGGAAATTGTGTGAAGTGTTCTTGCCTCCACCAGTAGTCTACAACTCACACTCTAGCTTTTGTCACTCTGCTGCCTGCTCACACACCTGGGTTCCTATGGCAACTCACTCTACAGCAAGAGCAGAGAAGAGCGGTTAAAAACAAACTGCTCCAACTTGCTCACTTCACTGGCGGTTCCCATCTTCAAACGGTTGTAGTTTAACAATTATAAATCCTACACCAAGGAGCTTTATATTGTGAGAATCACAAGACCCAGACCTACATTTTGATGCATAGTATGTCTCTGAAATATTAAAAATGAAGGCACAGTCGCAATTTAGAAATTGCCCTTCAAATTTGAGGTGGCTAGAGTGGAGTTTCAATGAATGTCAATGGATGGCATGAGTTGCAAACAAATGGTCATATTGTGAAAACTATCAGGACTATGGCTTAGCCGTGAACATTTTTAGTGGCAGCAGGGATAGCTGAACGGTTTGATATAAGATTTGTGTAGGTGGGCTTGAAAATGAGGGAGTGATGGCAGTTTAGAAATCATGTCCTGATTTTTCAGCTCACACTCTAGCTTTTGTCAGCTTGCACTCTAGTTTTGAACATTCCGCCATTCATTCCTATGGGACCAATTTCACCCCAAAAACGGCGATATTTCGTGAACCATTTGGCGAAATGTTCCACAAAGTAATAGCACACCAATCGGGAACAATCCGCACGTTTCGGTATATTACTGTCTATGTAGTGTAAAAACTATGGGAGGAGTTAGGGGGGTAAATTTGGCTATAATAATAAGAATATATATGTGAGATAACAATAAGTGGTCTGCCATGCAAAAACACTTAATAAATTGAAAGACGTGCACTTTTTTTTTTAAGTAAGAATTAGGAACAGAGGGTCAAAACTGCAGATATGCTTCTGATGTTTGTTATTATTCATGCAGCTGTACATTGTGTAATAACGCGTTTGTTTGTTTTTCCATATACCTCATCAGCCGGTTTGTGCCACATGAATGGGTTGGGTTCATTCTCCCCACAATGATCCCTCTTCTGCTCCGTACTAGACATTTCCTGTACGGCTCGGACCAACCGGGGGTTCTGGTCTCCATACTCTCCAGATGCCACTTCCATGACTACAATCAGCAACAGGGAAACAGATTTCATTAACACTGAAACATAACAGCATAAAGACTATTATTTATTATTCATTTTATTATATTATTATAATTGTTATTATTACTAGTACAGTGCTGTGAAAAAAAAGTATTTGCCCCCTTCCTGATTTTTTTCCATGTTTTTTCACACTTAAACGGTTCAGATCATCAAACAAATGGTAATATTACACAAAGATATAACCCAAGTAAATACAAAATACTGTTCTTAAATGATGACTTTGTTTATTACCCTCCCTAGCGGTATGATTATTTCAGATTTTTGGTGCTGAAAGCGGTACCATTTTTTGCATGGAATTATGTATTTTTTTTATTGTAGGCTGTAATTTAGGAATATCTCACTGAAATCTGTCCGAACAAGAGTCTAGTAAACATCCCGGGTATGATAAAACTTGAAACACGAAATCATAAATTATAATTTAATACATACTCATAAAAAATAATAATATAATAATAAATTTAATTCAATAATATAATCAAACCAAAAACACTGAAATTTGAAATATAGCGCCAAGTTCGCACATCGCTGAGCAAAGTCGCAAAATCGTTTTCAGTGTCTGATGATGAATTTCCCCCACGAATCATTATCACTCAATTCTGCAAGTGGTTCTGATTTACTATCGCTGTTCTCTAGCCGGTCTAAAACCGCTTTTGACCTAAAGGGACGCTTTTTGGACTTTTCTAAGTTTCCAGGCAGAAAGAATAATCAAAATGCAGGCAGGGCGCCGGACAAAGCACTCGGGACAAAATGCTTTGATACAGGAATGTTTTGCTATGAAATAATCGTTTTTAAAAAAATGTCATTTTTTAAACATTTTCAAATTTGCCGCCGGTTCCAGCGCCCCGACGTCACAGGGACCGGAACACGGAAGCCGGATGCCGGCATCGGCCGGAGGAGATGGCCGGGGACGCTGCAGGGGACGCATCGCGGGAGCGAAGGACAAGGTAAGCGCTGTAGGGAATCCCTATGCAACGCAGCATGGTAAGCCCGAGTGTAGCTCGGGGTTACCGCTTTTGGTACTGAAACTTTACCCCGAGCTACACTCGGGAATACCGCCAGGGAGGTTAAGGGAAAAAATGCTGTTTAGCTACTTGCCCTCCTGAGGATTTACCCCCCTTTTTTTACCCCATTTTTGCTTTACAGCACAGCGTTACTTTAACTGACAATTGTGCTGTCATGCAACGCCGCAACCAAGATGAAATTTAAAAGTACTTTTTTTCTCCACAAATTGAGTTTTCTTTCGGTGGTATTTGGCTCTGAGGAAGAAGCAAGTGCTTGAAATGCATCAGCCTATTGGATGTCTACACTCCCTATTGCTGACTGTTACTCAGCGCGGTGTTGACTCAGCTGTTCTTTTATGATGTGCCTTGGCTGTATTGTCATTTGTGAGTACAACACCTACTTTATTTCTTATTAAACATTTTTTATGGTAATGCACTAGGCCAACAAATATGCCAAAAAAAAAAAAGAGAATCAGGAAGGACTACTTTTTCACATAACTGTATTTGTTTCTAATTCCAGGTATGTATTGTGGCCTGTGTCCTCTCACTTCCTGTGCCAGTGACACCTTGGCACCCAGGACATCATTGGGACAAGAAGTGAGGGGACATTTCTCCACTGGGGACAGTAATAAGTGCATACATAAGAGGTGCTAAGATCTCCTATTGTTAACCTCTTGTCACCCACATAACGCAATGGGGTTTATTTACTAAAACTGCAAAGTGCATTATCTGTAGCAGCTGTGCATAGAAAATATTATTATTCATAATGTTATAGTATATATCCCAGAGTACTTAACATAAAACAGTAAAAAAAATCACATCTGCTTGACAAGGCAGAGTTCTAACTACACAAAGACATGCAGCTGTCTGGGCCCATAAGGTCAGATGGGGTTTAGTTTATCCTCTTTCCTGATAATGGGGAAGTTGATAATGTTCAATATTTATGTTATATGCTCAAGTAGTAAAAAGTTTTCCTTTTCAACCGATAAGGAGAAATGCCTGCTCATAATAATCATTATTATATTGCTTCATTAGCACTGAAAGGGCCATATTAATATAAAAGGTATAAAAGCCAGAAATATAGACAAGCCTGTACAGTGGGGAAGTGGAAAAAAAGTGCCAATTGCATAATTCCATCCCAACCAATCAGGAAACATATATTATCGTTCTGCCTATTATGAATGGATGCATTTGAAATGGGATTGAATGGTATGGATTACTGTATTGTGTAAACTGTAAATACTCATTGGATAAGGGGCACCACCGGTCTTCCTGTATGGGGCCCAGGCCAGCAGGGTTGATCAGCATCGAGGAGGGGGGGAATTACTGGAACAGATCCCCTGTATGGCTCTTTCTGCAGCAGCTGAAAGCTGGCTTCTTCTCCTCTCTCTCCCACTGGCTTCTGGCTGCTGCAGAGAGAGCCATACAGGGGATCAGGGGGTAATTGCCCCCCCCCCCCTGCCTTACCGATCACCCTCCCTGTGCACCATACATTTCCCTCTACTGCCCCTATGTACCTCCCCCCCCCCCCCCCCCCCCCCCAGTACTGCCAGATTTCCTCCTCTCCTTCCCACCCGCAACTGCAAGCACACAATAGGATCCTTCAGGATGGAGAGTGGGGGAAGGGTGCAGAAAATATGTCACATGGTACTGATCACTCACTGTGTTCATTCATAACTGAACCATAGTAAACTGCGTTTATCTGAGGGGGCCCTGTCAGGTTGGCTGTAAAGGACCCCCAGGGGCGGACTGACAACTCATGGGGCCCCTGGGCAATAGGGGATCCTGGGGCCCTTGTGTCCTTGCCCAAACTCAAAAAAGCCTATGAAAAAGGTACCAGGGGCATCTCATGGGGCCCCCTACTGACCCCGGGCCCTTGGGCAGTGCCCAAGTTTCCAAATGGTCAGTCCGCCCCTGAGGACCCCATGGTTTCTAACAGCAGCCCTGATTCCAGTCATTGACAGTTCTCATTTTGGTAATTTTTACAGTTGATGGTAGTAGTTAGTCACATTGAACTGAACAAGTCCAGTTAAATGTGACCATTTGCTAACAGCTTGCTAAACTATATACAGTGCCGTGAAAAAGTATTCACACCCAGGGGCGGGCTGACCATTCAGGCACTCGGGCACTGTCCAAGGGCCCAGGGTCAGTAGGGGGCCCCATGAGATACCCCTGATACCTTTTATAGGATTTTTTGGTGGGTGTGGTTTGAGTGTTGCAAGGACACAGGGACCCCAAGATTTCCTATTGCTCAGGGGCCCCATAAGTTGTCAGTCCGCCCCTGTTCATACCCCTTGAAATGTTGCACATTTTGTCATGTTATAACCAAAAACTTAAATGTGTTTTATTGGGATTTTATGTGATAGACCAACACAAAGTGGCGCATAATTGTGAAGTGGAAGGAAAATGATACATGGTTGAATACCTTTTCAAGGCACTGTAGCTTAATTATAGATATATAAAAAAAAAAAAAAAAAAAAAAAAAAAAGCTGTATTCTTCAATTTGGCCATTAGATGGCACTAGAGGTAAAGCTTTTCCCCCATGATATAATACAGTAGTTAAAACCTCTTTCCTGGGATATCATTCCTGATCCATTGTTAGCATTTATTTTCCTTTCTAAGAAAGGAAACTTTACAAGAGAACATGTTATTGATTTTTACAGAAGCTGTCCTTGTTTCAAGGCCCAAACTGACATTACTGGAGTATTGATTTGTGACCAGTTTTCAGGCAGACCTGTTTGTATATAAGAGGCTCCCCCACTAATCTGACCGACTTGGCCATCCTGAATATTAAAGAAGAGAATGAGATCCTGAAAACCCTTCCTTGTAGAAACTGCTACTATAGGACCGTATAAATGACAGCTCACAAGACCAAATGCCTTGGCATATGGTAACATGCACCCTGAAATAGGCACATTGGCTGTTAGGCAAAGGTCACATGATTAGCAGATGTTTTGTGTTTTTTTTTTTTTGGTTTTGTTTTTTTTTTAGTTTGATCTGCAAAGAGTCATATTATACATCAACCTCTTTCAACTTTCTGTGATTTCCCCCTTTCCTTCCAAGCTGAAAGCAATGGATTAAAGCAGCTTCATATACACTCACTGGCCACTTTATTAGGTACATCTGTTCAATTGCTTGGTAACACAAATTGCTGAGCAGCCAATCACATGGCATCAACTCATGGTATTATGGCATCTAGATGTGGTGAAGACGACTTGCTGAAGCCAGGGGTGGACTGACATCTCATGGGGCCCCCGGGCAATAGGGGATCATGGGGCCCCTGTGTCCTTGCCCAAACTCAAAAAATCCTATGAAAAAGGTACCAGGGGCATCTCATGGGGCCCTCTACTGTGCCCGAGTTTCCAAATGGTCAGTCCGCCCCTGTGTATAAGTAATTCTTTATTTATCTGATAGATTTGGTTGGACTCTAATTGATCATATCATCTAAGCACATTCGTTACAAATTCGTTGTACAATTTGATATGGATTTGCACACAGATATATGAGTCGACTTAAAGTGGTTGTAAACCCTAAACATTTTTTACCTTAATACATTCCTTGCATTAAGGTGAAAAATGTTTCATGATGTGTATGCCCCCCCCCCCCCCCCCCCCCCCCTTAAAGTCTTGGTTCACACCTATGCGTTTTTCATTGTGTTTTGCAGAAACACAGTACAGTCCATTTACCATGATTTCCTATGGGACACATTCAAATCTCTGCATTTTCATCCGTACGTTTTTTGGAAAGGGTCAGGGACATTTTTAAATGCAAAACATTGCGTTTTTTGGTTCTATACACTTCAATGGAAATGCTGCAGAAAAGCATGTAGTGCATTTTAGATGCATTTTTGATGCATTTTTCATTTTAATCTGCCCAGCAACAAGTTGAAAAAAAAACCCCGCAAAATGCATCAAAACGCGTCAAAAACGCATGTGCAAAAACACTGCAGAAACGGTTCAAACGCAAAACTGGTCTCCTCAGATTCTTGAGTCACTATATCTGGTCTCCCTGGACCCTGCATTCACTATATCTGGTCTTCCTGGACCCTGCATTCACTATATCTGGTCTTCCTGGACCCTGCATTTACTATATCTGGTCTTCCTGGACCCTGCATTCACTATATCCAGTCTCCCCGGGCCCTGTATTTACTATATCTGGTCTCCCCGGACCCTGCATTCACTATATCCGCTCTCCCCGGACCCTGCATTCACTATATCTGGTCTCCCCGAACCCTGCATTCACTATATCTGGTCTCCCCGGACCCTGCATTCACTATATCTGGTCTCCCCGTACCCCGCATTCACTATATATAGTCTCCCTGGTCCCTGCATTCACTATATCTGGTCTCCCCCGGGCCCTGCATTCACTATATCTGGTCTCCCCCGGACCCCGCATTCACTATATCTAGTCTCCCTGGTCCCTGCATTCACTATATCTGCTCTCCCCGGACCCTGCATTCACTATATCTGGTCTCCATGGACCCGGCATTCACTATATCCGGTCTCCCCGGACCCTGCATTCACTATATCTGGTCTCCCTGGACCCTGCATTCACTATATCTGGTCTTCCTGGACCCTGCATTTACTATATCTGGTCTTCCTGGACCCTGCATTCAGTATATCCAGTCTCCCCGGGCTCTGTATTTACTATATCTGGTCTCCCCGGACCCTGCATTCACTATATCTGCTCTCCCCAAACCCTGCATTCACTATATCTGGTCTCCCCGGACCCTGCATTCACTATATCTGGTCTCCCCGGACCCTGCATTCACTATATCTGGTCTCCCCGTACCCCGCATTCACTATATATAGTCTCCCTGGTCCCTGCATTCACTATATCTGGTCTCCCCCGGGCCCTGCATTCACTATATCTGGTCTCCCCGTACCCCGCATTCACTATATCTAGTCTCCCTGGTCCCTGCATTCACTATATCTGCTCTCCCCGGACCCTGCATTCACTATATCTGGTCTCCATGGACCCGGCATTCACTATATCCGGTCTCCCAGGACCCTGCATTCACTATATCCGGTCTCCCTGGACCCTGCATTCACTATATCCGGTCTCCCCGGACCCTGCATTCACTATATCTGGTCTCCCCCGGACCATGCATTCACTATATCTGGTCTCCCCGGACCCTGCATTCACTATATCTGGTCTCCCCGGACCCTGCATTCACTATATCTGGTCTCCCAGGACCCTGCATTCACTATATCTTGTCTCCCCCGGACCCTGCATTCACTATATCCGGTCTCTCCGAACCCTGCATTCACTATATCTGGTCTCCCAGACCCTGCATTCACTATATCCGCTCTCCCCGGACCCTGCATTCACTATATCTGGTCCCCCCGGACCCTGCATTCACTATATCTGGTCTCCCCGTACCCCGCATTCACTATATATAGTCTCCCTGGTCCCTGCATTCACTATATCTGGTCTCCCCGGACCCTGCATTCACTATATCTGCTCTCCCCGGACCCTGCATTCACTATAATCTGGTCTCCCCGGACCCTGCATTCACTATATCTGTCTCCCCCGGACCCTGCATTCACTATATCTGGTCTCCCCGGACCCTGCATTCACTATATCTGGTCTCCCCGGACCCTGCATTCACTATATCTCCGGTCTCTCCTGGGACCCTTCATTCACTATATCTGGTCTCCCCGACCCTGCATTCACTATATCTGGTCTCCCCGGACCCTGCATTCACTATATCTGGTCTCCCCCCTGCATTCACTATATCAGCTCCACCCGGACCCTGCATCACTATATCTGGTCTCCCCATGGTTCATGAATTCACTATATCTGCTGAAACCCTGCAGGCATATCTGGTCTCCCGGACCATTCACAGCTCTCCCGGACCCTGCATTCACTATATCTGGTCTCTCCCTGCATTCACTATAATCTGGTCTCCCCGGACCCTTCCATTCACTATTTCAACCCTGCATCCTAGCCTGGCTTCCCTGCTGTCAGTCAAATATTGTGACAAGGCAGTGGGGGGGGTCAGCCAGCCCCTGTTTATGTCTATAGATACATGCAGCGCAGCTCAAGATCCAAGCAACTTCCTATAGTGGCAAACCAAGAAGAGGAGGAGCCAGGAGTGCCTGAGGGCATCCCAAGAAGAGAAGGTTTGCGGCTGTTCTGTGCAGTACCATTGCACAGAGCAGATAGGAATGAGATTTGTTATTTAAAATAAAATTGAGTATACAAACACTTTCACAAGGAAAAGGCTAAACAGAATTGGACATTCACACATCTGCATTTCTCCTAGAGAAACATACCAATCCTTCTGAGTAATCAATCTCATATTGATCAACATTTAAATACGTCCAATCAATCTTTTTTCATAGACAGAGTGATCGATTATCCAACAGCAATAAGAAGGCTTCACCGTAAAGCTGCAGTTGTATAAAATGTTAGCGGTTGTTTTGCAATCTGCAAGAGATCTCAGGTTGGCTCCACTTACTGAAATCCGCCGGGTTGTGATAGGTTGGGCAGTTTAATCCTAGGACTCGCAGGTAGGGGACGAGATTCGACACTTTCCCACGGTAGATGCATTGTCCCTGACTTAATACATAAAGCTGCGGATGAAAACAGAGAGGAGGGATGAGAACAAGGTAATAGTAGCCGTACTCCAGGGAAATCAATACTATAAAACATGACCCCGGGTTAACCATTTGGCTGACCGGGATTGCAACCGATTTGTTTTACAGTCAAGGTGTAAAAATCTGGAAGGCTTTAATCATTGACTTCACAGAGGTAGACCATAGATAGAATCACAAGTTCACTCGTATCCTAGCACAAAAAAAATGCCATTTTCATGAATTGACCTGCGGTTGGGGGTCCATGGAAATGAACGTGAAGGCAAGGTTCTAGGCAATCCCCAGCAGTATAATATATTCAGCTACTGCAGGGAAACTGCAGCAAACACAGAACTGTCATACAAACCAATCGGACCCATCCATATCCAGGCAAGGCAGAACCGGGTCATCCAGAAGGCAAGTTAGGTCCTGGTGGATGTCCAGGTGACCTCAACTGCAACCTACATGTTTCCTTCAGTAAACCAGGTAGATGGCTCAATTAGTCAGACACTCCTGAAAATTAAAAGGTTGGTCCTCAAGCAGGGGCGGACTGACCATTTGGAAACTCGGGCACTGCTCGAGGCCCGGGGTCAGTAGGGGGCCCCATGAGATGCCCCTGGTACCTTTTTCATAGGCTTTTTTGAGTTTGGGCAAGGACACCGGGGCCCCATGATCCCCTATTGCCCGAGGGCCCCATGAGCTGTCAGTCCGCCCCGGGGGGTCACTTACAGCCAACCTGACAGGGTCCCCTCAGATAAACACAGTTTACTGTGGCTCAGTTATGAATGAACACAGTGAGTGATCAGTACCATGTGACACATTTACTGCACCCTTCCCCCACTCTCCATCCGGAAGGATCCTATTGTGTGCTTGCAGTTGCGGGTGGGAAGGAGAGGAGGAAATCCGGCAGTACTGGGGGGGGGGGGGGGGGAGGAGGGTACATAGGGGCCATGGGCAGTAGAGGGAAATGTATGGTGCACAGGGAGGGTGATCGGTAAGGCGGGGGGGGGGGCAATTACCCCCTGATCCCCTGTATGGCTCTGTCCGCCCCTGTCCTCAAGAACCAATATTTACAGCGGCAGTGAGAACTCAGTGGTCAGCGGTCATGTGATCTCTGAGTTCTCACCGTTAAAAACCACAGGGGACAGATGCAGCATCCACCTAGGTAAGTATAACTTGGAAAGAAAAACCCCACACTTCTCTTTTAAAGCTGATGTGTCATGCATATAAGACTTACCCTGCCCTCCCTCTACCCCCACCAAACAATATGCAATAAAATATTTCAATCGTATCTTTTTATGTGAAAAAAAAAAAATTAAACCCAGTAACATCATCACTAGGTCTATCTGCTGATTTTTACTACTAAATTAGTAGGAGGATCTGGAAGGCTTCTATAAGTATCACAGTTCCTCAGATCTTATGTGTTATATGAAAAAATAAATCCTGGCATCCCTTTAGATGTCCATGCTCCTCCCTGTTGTCTACTGGTCACTGCAGACTTTGGCTGCACAATCTGCTGATCAGTTGCTTGATTTGTAATCAAGCAACTGATCAGCAGATTACGCAGCTAACAATTAGAGAGATCAGGCTTTGCCTAAATTCATAAAAAGGGGGTGTACAATGACTAATCACTAAGAATCTGTCAGGAAAATATTGTAAATTGACTTTCTTCATACACCATGAACAGAAGCAGTAACATAGTGTAAATTTATTACAAAAATCATATTTTTTTTTAAAACCACCATACAGTAAAATAACATAAAAAAATCATTCTTTCATATTGTAGAGAGTGTTTCTCTTAATAATAGAGTGTACAATACAGTGTATATTGCTCCTCAGGTTTCTGCAGTCATGCTGTCCCACATGGAAGAAAAATATATGTTATATTTTTAAAAATATTCTTCCCAAAATATATAGACATACATTTGAAATACTACAATTTTGGCAGTATTCAATATATTTAAAAATATATTTAAATATATATATATATATATATATATATATATATATATATATACTGTATGTTGAAATGCATTCCAAAAATGTAGATTAAATGTATTTTTAAAGACATATAGTGTATTTGAAAATGTATTTAAAAAAATATTTTTTCATATTTTTTGTTATAAAAATTTACGCATTTCAACATACAGTATTATATATATATATATATATGTTGAAATGCATTTTTTTTTCATTACAAATTATCTGAAAAATATTTTTTTCAATAAATTTTCAAATACACTATATGTCTTTAAAAATACTTAATCTACATTTTTGGAATGCATTTACAAATATATGTAAAAATATATATTTTTAAAAATATTTTTCATATATTTTGTAATATATATAAAACACATTATTACATGCAGTATATATATATATATATATATATCTTAAACAGTGAAGCGCTAAATTAAATAAATAAATAAATACATATATTAGGTGCCGTCAGTGAATATAAGTGCTATAGTGTAATAATTCCTTGTAAATCACTGGAACATGCCAACCAATGGTGTATATAACTGGAAACAAAACTGAATACTTAATATATCAGTGAGAAATGCTAAATAGATATATAAATAAAATATAAACACACCAGTGATGAATAATCTAATACCTCCGATAAAAACTTCTTCTCATTCACAGAAGAATATAAATAAATAAAAAGGTGCTCATTAAGTGAACAAATAATCACAAACTCAAAAAGTGAACAAGTGTATAAAAAAACTTTTCTACGTGCATATACCAAAAATGTATATACATATAACATATATATAAATAAATAAAGTCCATGCAGGTGTAGCTTGTGAAAAAAAACGTGGTCTTCACTTCTAGTGCGCACACACACACAAATCCTCAAATGGCAGCAGTGCCTGCTCACCTCCCCGCACTGACCCTCAAGGGGCCAAAAGGCTACTTAATCTCCTCTATGGCCAATCTTTCTCCTTCGGTAGCTCAGCAGGGGATCACAGGGTCTCCACTTCTCCTCCACTCATACGTCCTGATCATGTGTGCAGCACCACGGCAACAGCACATCAAACAGAGGTCAAGATGGCAGCTTCCTTGGCCTCCATAGATCCTCAGGAACACTCCTCCTGTGTCTGTGAATGGAATTTCCATTCACAGACACAGGAGGAGTGTTCCTGAGGATCTATGGAGGCCAAGGAAGCTGCCATCTTGACCTCTGTTTGATGTGCTGTTGCCGTGGTGCTGCACACATGATCAGGACGTATGAGTGGAGGAGAAGTGGAGACCCTGTGATCCCCTGCTGAGCTACCGAAGGAGAAAGATTGGCCATAGAGGAGATTAAGTAGCCTTTTGGCCCCTTGAGGGTCAGTGCGGGGAGGTGAGCAGGCACTGCTGCCATTTGAGGATTTGTGTGTGTGTGCGCACTAGAAGTGAAGACCACGTTTTTTCACAAGCTACACCTGCATGGACTTTATTTATTTATATATATATGTTATATGTATATACATTTTTGGTATATGCACGTAGAAAAGTTTTTTTAAATACACTTGTTCACTTTTTGAGTTTGTGATCATTTGTTCACTTAATGAGCACCTTTTTATTTATTTATATTCTTCTGTGAATGAGAAGAAGTTTTTATCGGAGGTATTAGATTATTCATCACTGGTGTGTTTATATTTATTATTATATATCTATTTAGCATTTCTCACTGATATTATTAAGTATTCAGTTTTGTTTCCAGTTATATACACCATTGGTTGGCATGTTCCAGTGATTTACAAGGAATTATTACACTATAGCACTTATATTCACTGACGGCACCTAATATATGTATTTATTTATTTATTTAATTTAGCGCTTCACTGTTTAAGATATATATTATTGGTTACTGAATGGTTAAGTTTTAAGTGACAGCAGCTGTTTCAGATAGGGATTGTGCCTATATTGAGCGCAGGAGGATACTCTAATACTGTCTTCTAGTATATATATATATATATATATATTGAATATGGCCAAAATTATAGTATTTCAAATATATGTCAATATATTTGGGAAGGATATTTAAAAATATATTTAAAATATATTTTTCTTCCATGTGGGATTGTACATGCTATTATTAAGAAAAATAATGAGGGGATGCTTTGTTGATTTGATTTCATTGTTATGGTGTTTTCAACAATTTTTGTAATAAATGTGTACTTTGTTATAAATTGGTGTTTTCTGTGCATGGGTACCGAGAAAGTCCATTTGCAATATTTTCCTGACAGATTATGCAGCTAAAGCCTGATTTCCCCCTCCCCAGGGAGTATGCACATCTAAAGGGATGTTGGGGATGTGTTCTTTCATTTAATGCTCATGGAAAAAAAATGATTGGTGGTAAAGAAAGCTAATAGCTGTGAAAGGTGTGCCAAAAGGACGTGAAGATAATGAGGATAACTAAATCATTCAGACTGGAAATTAAGGTGGGCTCAAGTTAACTGGTGCAGGTTTAAAGGTTTATATTGTGGAGCGGCAAGTTTGCAGGGAATGGAGAATAATCAATTTTAACACAGGAGAGGATTTGCAACAAGCGTGGGAAAAAAAGGTTATAGTTGAGTTCAGCTTTATATATCGGGTGAATGCCAGCAGATTGAATGACCAACGTCTTTGGCAACCCATTGATGAGATCTCTGCACCAGGTTGGCACTCACACAATGCAGTTTTAAAGGCCATACTTCGTTTTCATGCAGGACAGGTAAGACATACTCAGTTTGCACAGATCACTTCCTCACTGGCTGACTGAGATAGACGTCACTCTGTCACTTGATGAGCGCGGCAACCTGTCAGCAAGTAAGTGACACCTTGCTCATTTGGCCGGCGTGTAGTCACCTTTTAAAACCGGGCAAGTATTTTCCGGGCAATTTTTAGCGATCTTGATGCGGGCGTCACAAAGGGGGACATCATCCTATAAGAAGATACCAATGCTTCGGATGGACCTCATTTGCTTTGTTATATTTTGGGACAATGTAATAGGCATACTAGATTCATCTTTCCCTCAGTTCTTGCTGCTCCTTTTTGCTGCCAACTCTACAATGACATAGCTATTACTTTAAGGTACGGGGAGCACGTGACTCTTTCCTTCCATGTGACAGTGCTCACTCAGGCACCCGGGCAGTCACATGGGGATGAAGAGGAGAGTCCCTGACCAGGGGGCGGGAATGACAACTCATGGGGCCCCGGGCAATAGGGTAATCATGGGGCCCCCTTTGTCCTTGCCCAAACTCAAAAAAGCCTATGAAAAAGGTACCAGGGGCATCTCATGGGGCCCCCTACTGATCCCCGGGTCCTCGGGCAGTGCCTGAGTTTCCAAATGGTCAGTCCGCCCCTGGTCCCTGACTTGAAAAACCTCTTCCCGTCACTCCATGGTGCTGAATGGAGATCTGTAGAAATGTGGAGGAAAGATAAGTATTTGCTACTGGCTTGGACTGATATTAAAGTGAACCTAATGTTTTAAATGTGGGCAAATAGACAGATTCTCTTTAAAGTAAGTCTGTGTTCAGTACAACTACAGATGCCCTACATGCACATCAGAATTGTCCCAAAGAGCCTTAGGGGACCATTAAATCTGGGACACCATGTTATGCAGATGTAGCACTACCCCCTTAGGAGTCTCTGAAGTTTTGGGTCCCCCTATAGTCCTTCACAGCCAGGCAACACGCATTTTCTTCAGACCTTGCACACAGGAGACCGTAAACAGTCCTTGAGTTTGTTTTTTTTGCACTATTAGGGGGTTGATAACTTTGATGGGGTGGAGGGGTGTATGGGGGATTGCCCAAGTACAGTAAAACTGAGGACAACTCTTTAACAACTTTATTACATTCCAAAGACAGAAAATTATCTTCTTGGAGAGTTCTCCAGCCTCTCCATAGAGACACCCCAGTATGCCAGATGGAATTCTTTAAATTCAAACCGTTACCTACATGGGGCTAGTCAGGTTTCCCACCCAAAGCCTTTCCTCTGTATCAGGCCAAAGGGGATGTAGGACTTGTTCATCTTCCTCTCCTGTGAGCTTATTGGTTGGTGCTGCCTTCAGCATTCAGGGCTGGCTCCTTCCCGGCTGCCACAGGTGGCCCTCTCTATGGACTTCCCAAGGTTGAGGGATCCTCCTTTCAACTTCAGCAAGGATGGTAGGCCTCTTCCAACTGGGCCCACCTCCCAGGCTCCTGATCCAGCCTTCACTCCCTCTTCCCCGGGAAATTCCTGCTAGAGAGGGTCAATCATATTTAAAGGGCTGCTTGGTCCCTGCCAAGTCCAATTGGGGAGCAAATTACCTTCTTCACCCCCCCCCACTGGTTCAAGGGGCTTTTCCAGGGGGGCGTATCAGGAAACTGATCGCAGGCCTTCAGCCCCCGCCCCGGTAACCTGGGTGACTCACCCCCGGGTGATATCCCTGGTGTCTTTCTAAAAAAATATCTAACCACCCCTGGCGCTAACATATATTAAAAAATCGAGCTTTTAGCCCATCCCCTCCTCAAAGTTTTTATCCCTTTTATGTGATGGATGGCCTCTGTGCCAATAGCGTTGTTTCGATTTTGGGGGGGATCAGAACTTGAATTTTTTCTGCACAAAATTGGTTTTGCATGGCGCCAAAAAACTCGGGCCTGTTAATATGGGGGACACATTTGGGGGCCCGACTTAGTTTTTGTTGAAGCTCTATTTTCGTGGGCTTAATTGAACCAATTTAAAAAACCAAACTTTTAGGAAAAAATTTCATGCCTTGTATCATTTTCTTGGTTTGGTGGCTGGTGGACCATGTTGGGACTAGAAACCAGGAAGAAGGCACTGGGTCATCCACGACTTGGTTTTATATCACGCTCTTATGGGGACCTTTAAAGTTGCCAAAGAACTATCTGTACTGTGCCAGAGAAACCAAATAGTCAGATTCAGGTTCCCTAACAATGACATTTGGAATTCTCAGTGTGTAAAATCATAATGGTGCATGTGGGGCTATGAGGACGTTCTTAGTACTGAAACAAAAGGCGTGGATAGCTGCCAATGTTGGGCTCTCTTGACGTACCGTATGGTCAAAGAGGCTCGATCAGCTTGGCACTGGGTGGTGAATGGTGCAGATGTTATTCGTCCACCTTGTGCCAGCGACTCATTTAAAAGAGAAACCTGGAAGCAGGAGAGCTGTCCAGACAAATATCAAAGGGAAGTAAACACAAATAGTTTAACAAACTTATAATTATATAAAAGTTTAGTTTAAAGGCCAAGCATTTTTGTTTCTTTTTTTGTTTTGGATGGAGAGGAGACGAGGGATTATTAGAAACCCACTGCCAGTTTTTATTGCTGTCTGTGCCCCGTTTATCCTGGTTTACCATTATCATTGAAAGTGAAAGTAAAAGAAAATCCCACATTTTGGGCTGTCCCAAGACAAGTAATAGATGGGAAAATCTTGCCAATGAGAACATTAGTTCTGGTGACCCAGGAGGAATCTTCCGTTATTTTCTGGGATTTCCTCTCATTTCCTGTTTGGCTGTGGGGAACAAGAAGTGAAGGGAAATCTCCCTACTGGGACACAGATGTCAAAAAATAAAACTGATAGGGGATATAACCCTCCCTTAACCTCCCTGGCGGTATGAATATTTCAGATTTTTTGGTGCTGAAAGCTGCGTACCATTATTTGCATGGAAATTTGGCATTTTATATTTTGTAGGCCTGTAATTCTTAGGAATAACTCACTGTGAATCTGTAGCGCCGAAACAAGAGTCTAGTAAACATTCCAGGTATGATAAAACTTGAAACAACAAAATCATAAAGTATATTTAATAAATAATCATAAAAAATATATAATATAATAATAATTAAATTTAATTCAATAATATAATCAAAAACCGAAAACACTGAAATTTGAAATATAGCGCCAGTTCGCACATCACTGAGCAAAGTCGCAAAATCGTTTTCTGTTCTGATGACAAAATTTCCCCACAAATCATTATCACTCAATTCTGCAAAGTGGTTCTGATTTACCTATCGCTGTTCTCTAGGTGGTCTAAAAAACCAGATTTTGACCTAAAGGGACGCTTTTGGACGCCTTGGACTTGTTCTTAGTTTCCAAGGCAGAAAGAATACAGTAAAAATGCCGGCAGGGAGCGCAGGACAAAATGTATGTGAAATGGATTTGATACAGTAATGTTTTACTATGTGTTTTTATGTGATATGTCACTTTTTGTCATTTTCAAAATTTCCCCCTCCGCCGTTCCGTCTCCCTGTATACTTCCCGGAACGCTCCCGCAGGGGATGGAACCCAGAAGACAGATGCCCGGCATCTCTGCCGGATTTTACCATTGCGGGGGACAATGCAGGAGGGACAAATCGCGGGGGGGTTGAGTGCAGGACTAAGGTAATTGATCGAGGGGAACTCGCAGGAGCATCGCTGCAGGGTATTTACCGCAGTGTAAGACTCCGGGGTGGTTAACTGCTTATGGTTACTGATACTTTACCCCGCGCTACACTCCGGAATACCGCCAGGGAGGTTAATATATGCAAAATGAAAGAGAAAAAATGTTTTCGCCTAATAGTTCGCTACTTTCATTATTACTGAAAAAACAATGTTCCTTTAATACATAAAACCGAAATTGACCATGACGCTATATCGTAAGGACATTTGTTTGATACATATGACAATGGTGGGGCATCACAATGGTGACAGCTATCATTTTCAAGATTAATGTGTAACCTGCAATGCTCCCCTGCCCCAACACATCCAGGCAAGAGCAGTGTGGAAAATTTGTTAAGCTGTATTCGAATACTGATTCCGTAGACAAACCTCTCAACATTCCAACAATGCAATTGGCAAACCTTACAGAATGGTTCATAGCACTGGCAGTTGTGGATGGAGTGCCAGAGCGCTCCGACTTTGAGTCCAGAGGCTCACAATTCTGTATAAGGTTCTCAAAAAATTACACCGTCATGCATTTGGGGTAACTGTAATTTGTTTTAATGAATATTAATTATTTATTATTATTAATATTAATAAATAATAATAATAATATTAATTAATAAAAAATCAAAAGTTGCAATTTATTCTAAATGCACTTATCTTAAAAGCAAGTTAATGTAATTTCAGGTGACCCAAAAAACATATAATATATATATTGAAATAACTTTCCACACGTTTTTTTAATTGCTATACCACACATTTTAGTTTCTATTGGTAAGGTGTAGCCCTTTCTCATCAACCTTTTAAACATGGAGGAACCCTTGAAAATAAAAAAACTTTTGCAGGCTTGAGGAACCCCTTCTAATAAATTTATTATATCTACAGCTCATGGTACGAAGTGTCCAGGGGGAAGAATTTTGCATTACATTTGTGGTCATTGGGGAACAGATCCCCGTAAAGAAAAGCTTAAAAAGATCACTGTTTGATCGTGGTTATTTATCTGGGAGGCTGGAATATGCCCCATTGACTAGAAGGAACCCTTGGCAAACCTCTGGCGGAATCCTTGGAATTCCATGGATCCCTTGGTATTAGAATGGCCTTGTTGAAGAATTAGTATGGTATAGTACTGCCATTATTTGGCTACCCAGATTTAATTTAAACAGTGACCCTTTCACCTACAGTAAGTTCATACAGCAAAAGAAAGAAAACTAATAATCCTCCAGAGTGTCCACCCGTGTGGTAAATTCTCCAAAGTATCTGTGATTTTGTGCTGCTGCATGAATATCTTACTCCCCCTCCGTGTGAACGTGGTTTCCTCCCACTGACTCATAGCTCACTGCAAGATGATGTATGAACCTGATGGAAAGGAATCCAAATAATGCATGGCAAGGGAGCAAGTTTTCAACAGCACCTATATAACTGCACCCAGCTATCCATATGAGGCAAGATCAAAACCATTAATCTATCGATTAATCTAGACCCTAGGTGATTGCGATGGACTGTCACTTGTAAATGTGACTTTTTCCATGAATTCTCTTAGCAATTATTTTACAGGGTAGGTTGCCCAGGTCTTTTCCCCAAATCCCTACCATGCAGGAGATACAACCATGGCCAGGGTTGATGAACTTGGGACATTTAGACAAGAGCCAATTAACTACACAGCATGTCTTTGGAGTGTGGGAGGAACCTGGAGTACCCAGAGAGGAAACCCATGCAAACACAGGGAGAACATGCAAAAACTCCTATGCAGGAGGCACCATGGTTGGGAATTTGAAACATGACCCAATTACTGCAAGGCAGAAGTGCTAAACCACTAAGCCACTGTGCCACCCCAAACCATAACCAGTCTGAGAATAAACATTTAGCAGTTTGTATATACCTTTTTGCTGACTGACCAAAAACAGTGCTTCTTGAGTTTATCTCAATTTGTAGCTCCATGTGATATCTCAAATCCCTTTGTTCACTGATCTGACCAAAACAAACTGAAATATGATTGGCTGCTATCAGGGGCGGACTGACCATTCGAGCACTCGGGGCACTGCCCAAGGGCCCGGGGGTCAATAGGGCGGCCCCATTAAAAATGCCCATGGTATCTGTTATAGGCTTTGTTGGGTGTGTTTTGAAGTGTGGGAAAGGACACAGGGGCCCCAGAGTTGATCAGTCCGCCCCCCATGAGTTGTCAGTCGCTATATACTTTGCACTGCCCTCAGTTACATATCAAAGGTAGTTGCACAAGAGAGCCAGACCAACATAAGACCAAAAAAAAAGTTTAATCACTCATCAGATGAATGGGTACAACAGCCTGTGTTTCGGGGTCAGAACATGCCTCTTCATCTTCAAGATAAAAAGGTAAAATGTATATTGGACACTGACCTTCAATGGTTTGGACCCTACAAACCCTCTGGCTGTTGTATTCAATCATTTGATAAAATATTAAAGTTATCTTGGATTCCCTTTGGTCTGGTGCTCTTTAAGGAAACTTCTTACTTCACTTTAGGGGCACCATCCAGGGGCACCCTGTTTGGCAAGAGGGCCATTGATTTGATTTGACAGTTATGGGTCACTATGTTTTTTGTTTTTTTTTTTTGCCACGTGGATTAATTAAATTTCAATTTTAAACTACTACACTATGGGCAATTTTTTGTTGGCTCCCTGGTGAGCTAACATCCGTTCTAGAGCCCAAGTCTCAAGACACAAAGTTGTAACATGTGACACCAACCCAGAGGATGACGTACGTTCCGCTGTAAGCTGCCCAGTACCCTGTCCATTACTAAGAGGGAGACGACTGTTTGGCTGCCCAATATCCAGAGAAAGGAGAGTCCGTTAAGACGGCCAGCTAATCCATCCCTTCCCATGAGGGGGACCCTGGTGTATTTATTATATTCGTATCAAAAGATACACATCTGGTGAGTGCGTATTTTTACTATATATCACCAAACCGCTGGATCGTGAAGTCACTAGCAACTCCTGTATTAATCACGAACTGTCACCATTCTACTTATAATTATTTATTAGTTTTTATTATTATTTTATTATATTATTTATATGGATATACTTTTACTGGACTGGAGCATGTAATACTATTTATAATATGATTTTATCTTCTTATCGATATAGCATTATTGAACTGGAGCATATACATTTTAGTGCTGCACTTTTTTATACGTAAAGTTATGGGTCACTAATCACCATTGGTCCAAGGGTCTCTCTGAGATTTCTGTGGACTCATTGGCTTTCTCTGGATTTCTCACAAACCTATCATGAGATACAAGCAACTTACCTGGTGGGTTCATCAAAGAACATAACAGGGGGATTGTTCACTAATTCCAGAGCAATGGCCAGCCGTTTCCTCTGACCCCCAGAGAGACAGCCCGTCCTGGTGTTAGCGCAGGACAGCAAGCCCAGAGCTGTCAGGATCTCCTTCACCTGAGACGACACCATAATTCATGAAAATGTTAAACACTACTCAGTTATTTTACAGAAATATGGCCTCAGAGCTAAACTTCTAAGAGAAATACAGAGGCTTTCATTGCTCACCTACTCCTGAACACGCCCGTTGGCTTCAGTACTTTCTGAATCATTGACCAGAGGCAAACTTGTATTTTAAAAAGTAAGAGTGAAGTTAAAATGTCTGATCTTGTTCTTGGCAAGTGCTTAAAGTGTTACTAAGCCCACAACAGTAAAATCAGTCTGTATATGCAGGAAAGCATGCTTTTTATACTCACTGTGAAAAGGGATTACTCCTCCACATTGTGTAAAAAGACTGTTTGATCCTGTCTTCTCTGATCCTCCCCTTCTTCTACTGTCCCCAATCCATCTGCTGATAGTACAGAGCTCAAGGAGTCACTCTGCACATGCTCAGCTTAGTGTGCATTGCTAGAGAGGTTTTTTTTTTTCTTTGGGAGGGTGCATGTGATCAGCACAGGGCCAATCAGTGCTGTCCAGGAGGGTCAAGGGTCATGCAGCCTCATTGGATCATAGCTGAAGGAAAACTCCTCCTAAAAGCTTTAACCAGTGCTCAGATGGACACTGATGGAAGCCACAAGACTGCAATATACTGCTGATGAAAAAAGGTATTTAGCAGTTTAAATTTAATACAATAATTGCATGTTCATATAGTGTGTACTGTGGGAGACCAGATATAGTGAATGCAGGGTCCTGGGTTTTGTGACACTTTAAGTCTTTGGATCAGCATAAAAGGCAGACAACTGGAATTTTCAGTAGGAGAGGTCAACAATGATGGACTACGTATTTCTCTCAGTACAGGTTTCCTTTAAAATAGTGTACTTGTAAATTAAAAAAAAACAGGAATTACAAAGACCTGTAACTTGGCATAGCGCCCCTAGCACAACACCCCTTGTATGCATCACCTTCTCATCTCCTCTCATCTAATGCCCTTCTCATACTCTCCTTGCCATTTGCTGTGGCTTCTTCCTCTAACCCTCATATGATAAAACACAAGGCCCTTGGGCAGAATATGGCCCGCCAGACCATTTCATATGGTCTTCGCACCTCCCCTGCAGCTGTAGCACCCCCCTGTCTCCGCCCTCACCTTGTCTCAGCTGCAAAGAGGAGGACAGAACTCCTCCTACAGATCCTGCACCTCCCTGTGCAGCCTCAGCACCCCCTTATCTCCATCACCCCTGGTCTCAGCATTCAGCAGACTCTGGCCCTTTGGGGGCAGCCACAATGCTGATGCAGCCCAGGGTGAAGTTGAGTCTGACACCCATGCTCTAAGCGCTATGCCACTACAGGACGCAGCAGTGACATAGGTGTGGGAGGATGAAACCATGGCATGCAGTGGGGGACACAGAAGAGAGGTGAGTGATATGGTTCTTCTCTTGTATGGTACTGTAAGTCTGATTTAAAAAAAAAAAAAAATTACCCCTGCTATTTCTCCTGCTATCCCATACCTGTGAATAGAGGCTGCTGTAAACTATACATTGCTTCCTCTAACTAGCAATCCCTAGATAGCAGCTGTGAAAACTCTCTCTAAAAATCAATTTTACTTAGATGTGCAAAGCTACCTGCATACAATGACACCATCCCTCCTTCCCCGATTGATTGACAATTCACTGTCATAGCATAGTACAGTAGGCTGTCTCTTTGCTGCAATATGAATATCAATCCACATTGTTCTAATAGTGCACAGCATCTATTACAAGTCACTTACCATTTCTCTTCTGCCTTCATCTTTCTCTTGGAGCTTCAAGTGGGCAGAGACCTAGGATAAAGAACAGGGATTATTACTAATATTATCAGGTGAAAGCAAGTAGTAAAATCTTCAAACATAGTGGATGTGATCAATTCAGTAAGAGCTATAAAACTGACTGCAGCCAGAAACCAGGGAAAACCTCACAGGGTCCCTGGAAGTGTACATATTCTCTCTTCATGCAGCATTAAAACAAAGGTCTGTATCTAATTGGTGACTGTAGGAAACATTTTATAGGATTACTCCAGAACAGACTTTCTCATCTTTTTATCCCAGAGGAACCCTAAAATAATTTTTAGATCTCAGAGAACCGCTGGTAGGATTAGTCGATTGGGTTAATTGAGAAAATGGCCCTTACATTGGTGGTGGTAAGTGGGAAGAGTGCTGCCCGTATAGCGGTGGCCAGAACAACACCCTTACAGTCATGCTGCTGGCTCTGGCTGCATGGGACCTAGAACTATAAGAGCACCATCAGAGGAGGTTAGTTAGCCACATCTCAAAGAACCCTGGCCAACCCTAGAGAAATCCTAGGGTTCTATTGAACACTGGTTGAAAATGGCTGCTGCAGACAATTCTTTTTTTTTTTCAATTTTGGACAGAGTGGGGAACAGCAACTGTTTTTGCCAAGTTTCATTTCTACTTTTGTGGAGATTTGACCTTACTTGTCCTGTGATACCAGGACAACAAATGGCCAGCATGCCTGTCACCAGGACAGGAATCAAAGATGAAGTGGGGGTGAGGTGCTAAATATGGACACTCCACCAATAGAAAAGAAGTCTTTTGTGGAGCAAAATGGCTTGGATTTGGCAGCTCTTGGCAATATGGGAGCAACTCAAAAATCGGGATCAAGCAAATTAAGTAGTTGATATATACATAGCTGAATCAGAAAGAGAGTCCAACAATGACTTATTGGTAGTAAGTGACTACGGAAGAGACAAATATCCAACGTGTTTTGGGGTCCATAGAGCTCCCTTTCCTGCAATGGTTTAGGGACTCAGAAATAGTACAGTAACCAAGGTTTGATTGCTTACTATGTGAAGAGTCATATATGACCAGTGTCAGTGAACCATGAAATCAATCAGCATGAATTGTTTTTTTGGTGCCTTTCTGGTGCAACTGTACCAGGGGCGGACTGACCATTTAGAAACTCGGGCACTGCTCGAGGGCCCAGGGTCAGTAGGGGGCCCCATGAGATGCCCCCTGGTACCTTTTTCATAGGCTTTTTTGAGTTTGGGCAAGGACACAGGGGACACACTATTGCCCGGGGGCCCCATGAGTTGTCAGTCCGCCCCCGAACTGTACACCGGGATAGGAAGGCACAGCTAGCAATAGGAGTTTTATCATTAGTTTTACTCTTCCAGACTTTACTACAAATATTTTTTGTTTTGCCTATGTTTCCTATTGGTGAAATTTCTTATCACTTCCTGGCTAAACAGGAAGTGGGGGGAAATCTCCCCAGTAGGCAAACAAATAGCAATTAAAAACTTGGGCTTCAAACTGGAAATGTTTTCTTGAGGCTTTCCCAGACAACAAAAAGCCTGCAGTGGGCTGTCTGAGAATGACTCTCCTGCATTACAAGAAGATGTTCCCAGGTCATTGGCCTAGAAGAAAAGAGACAATGTGATGGACTGGTGCACCACAACAATGTCTGAATAATGAGTGCAGCTTCTGGTTGGAGAGGTTGTGCTCCATAAATACTTATTTTTCAATTAAGACCAAAGTGTACCTTTAAAGAACCATTCATGAACTTACCATCATGGCCTCCTGCACTGTGAGGTGGGGTAGCAGCATGTCATCCTGCATGATGTAACAGGACACTTTGCGAAATGTGCGCAAGTCCCGTGGCTGTCCATTAATTAGAACCTCCCCCTTCATTCCTGTTTCTCTGCAATAGGACGGAAAAAATATTCTTTATTATAGAAGCAGTATTCAGATTTTAGTTCTAAAAGTTGTAACAATTAGGTTGAAGACCAGCAACTTTAAAGGTGTTTGGATGGTGCTAAGTGTTTACAGACATCAGAGTATTTATTCAAACTGACCTGTATCCTGCCAGGATATTCATTAAGGTCGACTTCCCCGCCCCCGAGGGGCCCATTATGGCAGCCAGCTCTCCACAGCTGAACCTTCCTGAGATCCCCTTGAGCAAAGTTTTGTACCCTGTTATATTAAAAAGAAAATGAATTTCAGTTTTTGCTGTAACCAAATCATAAGAGCAGAGCCATTTCATTGATGAAATCCGACGTGTTTGTAGATACATAATGAACAATAAATGACTGCTGATAACTCCCGGGATTGGCAAACATTTTATTTCTGTTTGTTAATCGTAGAGATGGTAAGCTTCAATATGGAAAAATAATAGACATGTACATACAGCAAAACAAAATGTAGTGATTGTAATAACAGCTGCTATTAAAGAGAGAGGAAATTGAGTTCTGTTTTTATTTATGAGGAAATATGGGGAATCTCAACTCTGATGGATTAACCGTTTAAAGCAAACCCGTCTCAAGCCAAAGAAAATAAAAATGTGTATTAGGTTACATTTGGTGCCTTTGTTGGCTAGTAGTGCTGATGGCCCTACCTCATTGTCTTCTGCCTCCCCAAGTTCACACATTTTAGAATTTTGAGAGTTGGTGTGCTTTTGAATCATATGTTGGGGCGCATTCTATTATGTCTACATGCATTGAAAATAGAAAGGTTCACTTTAGCCCTCTGCTGCCGGTGGCATCCATCTAGGGGGCCATGATGCCGAAGGCAGATAGGAAGGGCTCCCATTCATTAGTTCACTGGCTGCACAGTGATGCCATTATCTGGTGGCCCATGCCGCAGAGCATCAGTGGTTGTTATAGTGCAGGCAGCCGCCAGCATCCTAGCAACCAACAATGAGAAGGGGGGTTGTCAAAACTGAAAGGAACACCACAGGGCTCCTAAGTGTAGCATTAAAAAGACTTTCTTGATAAAAAGACAATAAACAACTCAAAAGTGGTAAAATATGGTGCTTGTCATAAGCACATCCCAATACTGATACCATTCGGATGGATGGCAGATCACTTTGCTCCAAGAAACAGCTTCGTCACCGCTGGCCAGCTATAAGAAACCAGGAAGCAGGCTCAGAACCAGGAAGCAGGCTCAGAACCAGGAAGCCAGGGAATTCAGTGGTATGCAGGCCAGACCAGAAGTGATGTCAGAAATTTCTGGAGGGCAAAATGGGCATGGCTATGCATCTCAGAGCCACCCAGGCCCCTTTTTCAAGCCTATGGGACCTATCGTGAAGGGGGCTATTTATATTTACCCAAAACTATCATACTCAATGTTCCTAGGGTGACATACCGTATGAACTACTACTGGGAGTGGTGTCACAATAAGGCATTACATGGAAGGCAACAACAAATATCAGCCAGAACATGCGAGTAATGAATCATTTAAAAACAATGAAGATAAAAATATAAATATAAAAATAAGATGTATGGTTAGCTGCTCCTTAGGATCACATCCTAAATAGAGGGTAGGAGACAGCTATACAAATTGTGAGCACAATTTAACCATTTCAGCCTCTGCAACGTACCTGTACGTTGCCAGGGTGAAGTTGTAATACGGGATAATGCTACAGGCATCATCCCAGTATAATATTTTTGGCCTGCCATGGGCTTTAATGTAAAAGTGATCCTTACAGGTAATTAGCTGCTGGATCGCTTTTACAGGCCGTGGAAGAGGGGCCCCATTTCCGCCGCCTTCCTGGGTTCTTCTGTCCCACCGGGGGGAGCCCAGGGCTGAAGAAGGTGGTTCCGCCAGCTGACCATAAAGATGACCAAGGACTGGAACATCCCCAATCATCTCTATGGTCTAAGAAACTGGAAGCAATGAGTATTTTATCACTTTTGGTTTTACTCCGGATTACTGGCTTGTGAAGGCATCTGATCAAACCAATCTTTGTTTGGTCAGGTGCTTTTAAGGGCAGTGGAGAGATCTGGGCTCCAATAGACCCCAGATCTCTCCATAAACAGGATTTCTCTCAAGGTGTTTGGATGGTGCTGTTTCTCTTTCTCTCTCTCTCTTCCTTTCTCTCTCTTTCTTTCTTTCTTTCTTTCTTTCTTTCTCCTTCTCCTTTCCCTCCTCCCCTCCTCATCCTCACTCCCGCCCCCCCCCCCCAATTTTATTAAGCCCTCAAATATACACTGACGCTCTATGGTGTCAGCTGTTGGATATTCTTGCTCCCCCATGAGGAAATTTTTTGTGATGGGCTAGTTTGTTTATTTGTTTTTATCCCTTTTGCTTCTACAATGGTCCCCTGCAAAGGACCCCATTGTTTTACCTGTACCTTGTCATGACTACTAAATAAAAACGTTATTGTACCAGAAAAATAACCAAATGGACAATGGTTGTCAAAAATGGCTGTCTCAGTTGGAACTACCCCCGTGACAGCTCTGGGGCACAGTGAAATGGCTGATAGGAAGGCATAGTACAAGGATGACTGCTCATTCACCATCCAATCACAGACTGGGTCAGTCCTTGACTATACTGTATTGCTTAAACTGCAATGGAGAAAAATGAGGTCAGACATTGGCAGTGCCAGGGGCGGACTGACCATTTGGAAACTCGGGCACTGCCCGAGGGCCTGGGGTCAGTAGGGGGCCCCATGAGATGCCCCTGGTATCTTTTTCATAGACTTTTTTGAGTTTGGGCAAGGACACAGGGGCCCCATGATCCCCTATTGCCCGGGGGCCCCATGAGTTGTCAGTCTGCCCCTGGGCAGTGCTATCTAATATGAAAACTTACTATATTAACAATGTAACATTTTTATGGCAGGTTCCCACTTCTAGATGTCAGATATGAATTCAGCCATTTCCCTTTCCTTCCACTTTAAGGCTTAGCGGCTCTTTAATCGCTCTCTGCCAGCTCGGCTCTGCAACACAAACACTTTCCGAGGGAGAATTTGTTCTTAATCCTTTGCCTGACCTCAAATTACAACAAGATACATTCACTTCTCCTCTCTTCTTCAAATCCCATTCTGACTTTGAGCCGAACGCGGTGAAGACGCGGAGACAGACGCGACCTCAGATTAATTAAATAAAACAAATTTCCATTGATGACAATAATGTGTCTGTCCATTGGTGGATGATATACTGGACCCATTGTGCCCAGAACAGAGGAAGCTATGTATTTGTATCCTTATGCAGCCCTATGCGTGTTGTCACAGACGAGCAGTCCGCAGTCTACCGCCGCACAGAAATTGTAAAACCGATATAATGAATGATAGGCTCATCGTATAATTTCTTCCCGTCTGGAGGAATCAACGTTTCCATTCATTGCTTATGAGAATGTCACACGGGGCAAGTATCTGGATAACATTCTCAGAATTCTGTCCCATGTCCTTATAATGAAAGGTGAGAAGGATTATACCCTCTGCTGGGAGAGATTCGCCCTCTTCATAGCTTTTGATAGCTGTTGTCACTTGAAGAAAGTGATGGTTGTCAGAGGAACAGGACTAGAGGAGAAATCTCCCAACGTGGACACAACAGTCAAACACAGTATGGGGGGCCTAAAGTGTAACCCCTACCATCACCAAAGGGTCGCACATAAAATTCAGTGAAAATTCAGTGTCAGAGACAGCAGACACACAATAGGATATGATTAAAAACTAAGGGCAGGATACAGAGGATGACCAGAGACTGCTGACATGGAAAAGGAAATGATCAGAGACTGCAGACATGATACATGAGATGGTCAGAGACTGCAGACATGATAAAAGAGATGGTCAGAGACTTCAGGCATAATGCAAAAGATGGTCAGAGACTGCAGACATGATACAAGAGATGGTCAGAGACTGCAGACATGATACAAGAGATGGTCAGAGACTGCAGACATGATACAGGAGATGGTCAGAGACTGCAGACATAATACAAGAGATGGTCAGAGACTGCAGACATGATAAAAGAGATGGTCAGAGACTTCAGGCATAATGCAAAAGATGGTCAGAGACTGCAGACATGATACAAGAGATGGTCAGAGACTGCAGATATGATACATGAGATGGTCAGAGACTGCAGACATGATACAAGAGATGGTCAGAGACTTCAGGCATAATGCAAGAGATGGTCAGAGACTGTAGACATGATACAAGAGATGGTCAGAGACTGCAGATATGATACAAGAGATGGTCAGAGACTGCAGACACGATACAGGAGATGATCAAAGACTGCAGACATGATACATAAAATGGTAAGAGACTGCAGACATGATACAGGAGATGGTCAGAGACTGCAGATATGAAAGAAGAGATGGTCAAATATTGGATATTGTCTGGTGTGCCGTGGGAAAAATTCCAATTTCATCTGTAACATGTGGCTTCGGCTCACAAATAGACCAATCATTAGAATCTAATGATTCAGTGGTCGGCAAGCCGCGGCTCGCGAGCCACATGCGGCTCTTTACCCAGTCTAATGCGGCTCTTCTGTGTGCCGGGCGCCTGCTCCCCTCCCTCCTCTCGGTCGGCCGCTCCCCTGCCTCCTCTCGGTTGCAGCCCCAAAAGTCCGCGCGGACCTTTTAATCCGGCTTGCGGATGTGGCTGTCAGGATGTGTGTAGGCGGGGCAGCGTGCCGAACGTGAGGGGAGGGGAGCTAGGCTCCTCTCACAGTCCGCCCTGAAGACCCGAACGGCGCGGGAAGACAGCGAGAGGAACGCAAAAGGTAAGTGAATTGACACGGGGGACTTGGCTTACTAGAAGGGGGGGGGGGGGAATAGTACTGTGTGGGGATGAAATACTATATGAGGGATGAATTACTTATGAGGGATGAAAAACTATATGGGGGGATGAAATACTATATGGGGGATGAATTACTATATCAGGGATGAATTACTATATGAGGGATGAAATACTATATGGGGGGATGAAATACTATATATGGGGGATGAAATACTATATGGGGGGATGAATTACTATATGAGGGATGAAATACTATATGGGGGGATGAAATACTATATGAGGGATGAAATACTATATGGGGGATGAATTACTATATGAGGGATGAATTACTGTATGAGGGATGAAATACTATATGGGGGGATGAAATACTATATGAGGGATGAAATACTATATGGAGGGGATGAAATACTATATGGGGGGATGAAATACTATATGGGGGATGAAATACTATATGAGGGATGAAATAC